CTGTGGTGTATTACACTTCATCCTTCATCGTCTTTTTTTTTTTCTTTGCTATTATACACATGGAAGTAAAAAAAATAAAGGAAGAATGGAAAAAGAAAATGAAGCTCTCAACGCGGTGGTAGTCGACGACGCGCGAGAGAGGGAAGCAAGCATAGAGTTATTATAATGTACGCTAGAGGTTCAAGTGGCGCTAGTGTGCTGACGCAAATTGAAGCAGACAGCAACCAGTCGAAAATTGACTTCCGGTAATGTATTTCTATGGGAAAAAGCGAGTGCATTTTCTCTCTGCGCTCGATCGTAAGAGCAAATATCCCAAATAATTCGTACGTACTAGGTAGTTTTGAACATTTCTCAGTCAGGCCGACGAAAGAATTGGTCAGTTACGGCGTTTTTCTTACGAATTCATCGCATTAAAAACGGTGCTAAAACGGCTTCGTACGTGTATTTATGTGCACTGTCGGACACTGTTAGCGCGAACGCGGCGTCGGCGATTTACAGCATGGGGGATATACATGCCAAACGAACGGGGGACATCGGGAAAATCGAGAGCGGCGGCAAGAGCTACGCAGTAACACTGGATCAGTAACTCGCAGTGCATGTACGATCAAAATAAATTGAAGGCCACGTAATCCATTCCGATTTTAAATAAGTAAGTACCGCTTTATTCTTTCTGCCCTGAGCGAAGCTGCTTGTTCTACGTTCAAAATATCACCCGAGCGCTCGATATCTTTGAGAACAAGTGCGCGATAAAAGCCGTCCGGCAGAGAAAACAATACGAAGAGACACCTTTCATAGCCCACGGACTTTATTATCTACGTTTTGAAGGTTTTTATCCGCTCATGCACCACGGGATCATTTTTATATAGTGACAGGACTGGCATATTATCAATATACAATCGTCACCGGAATGCTGGCGAGCCTTGAACCCACTCTATATTCGTTTCGATTGTAATTTTGCTTTGAATCGGCGCTTGTTTTTACACACCTGCTGCGGAACACACGTTTGGGATTGAAATGTAGCGAAGATAAACATCGTTCACTGATGAATAAAAATGCGCTAACTTAAGCAATTACACTTTCACAGTGTTAATCACGGTACATACTATTCGGTACGACCCAAATAACCAAAGTGTTCCGTGTTATTTTCCGGCGAAGAGGAAAAATGCATGCGCGTTTTCCCATAGAAATGCACACGAGCACCGCAAAAGTAGACTGGTTGCTGTCTGCTTCAATTTGCGTCACGGAAGTCGCATAGACACTAGCGCCAGTTGAACCTCTAGCGTACATTATAATAACTCTATGGAAGCAAGATCCGACTGCAGCGCCGCTAGTTCTCGTGACCGCCACCGGGGCCACTCGCCTCTGCAGGCGAGAATAGGGAGCTGCGAAACTGAGCTTGGCTCCAGTAATGTTGCTTCAAACAACTAACGACTAATTATTATTATTTGGCGAATAAACATGATTACTACTAGTACTACTATATTTCTTGCAAGAACATATCTTCTATTCCCAAGCTCGTTGTCCATTCCTTCCTTTCACCTTTCAAAACATCTCGTCTTACACGACATTAGCATTTTAACACCATTGGGAACACTGAATGTTTAAAAAAACTACTCTTTCGCGTGCACCATTAAATAATGGAATAATCTTCCCGCCAACATCACCTATGCGGCTATGCCTCGTCAGTTCAGGACTTTGTTTCAGCATTACAGCGTTATTTCACAAATGCTTTTTTTTTTTTTTTCACTCGTGTGCACCTTATGTTGTACCCACCTCGTTGGTTGTACCGGAGCGAAGGCTAGAAGCGCGAGCTCATAGCGCTGTGCCGCCGAGTTGTGCCCCAGACCAAGGAGCTCGCGCTTGTAGCCTTTCCTGCGGTACATCATAAGGTGAAATAGAGTATAGTGCTTTTTCGTGTCTATGCTCTGTATGCCCTATCCTGCCTTGACTGCCAATATGCAGCCGGATATGCATAAATAAATAAATTTAATGTGAATAAATTACGCTGTAGGATGGCGCAACATTCCGCCCATTTTAAATATATTATTGTTTCCCCTCTATATACTTATTTTCTTACTTCCGTCACTTCCGCTTTTCTTTTGCGCGCCTTTTTCGTGCGGTGCCGCGCACATCACAGTTGTGCACATCCTCTTTCTTCGGTCTCTTCTGTCATCGACAGGGCCGTTGGTGTGGGAAAATCCCGAATGAGGAAGTCGGTGGCAAATTGCAGTGGTTGACCATGCTTCCGCAGCTTAGGAAACGCCCGGCACCACCACCCAGTGACCTACCGTAAGTTCCACGCCGGGGGTACCGGAAATGTAATCGAGGGCCGTTTCAGCGAATGCCGTTTCTTCGAGCGCGTTTCGTCGAATTTCCTTTCACCGCATGTTGGACCATTGTATAATGCTTTTTAGATGTTTTACTCTACTGCTGTCGTCGCATCGTCGGAAATATATAGCCACTCGCGAATGCGTGCGTGGCCGAGTGGTTGCGTGCTTGACTGTCGCGCGAAGGATCCGGGTTCGATTCCAGGGAGCGGAATCTTCTGTTATTTAACGAAAAAATAGTCAGAGTGCAGGCGAGCTGGTGTTAGTTGGACATGATTGTAAACCTGAGACTGGGGCAGAAAGAGAACATAACAGAAGGTAGTAAAAGAGGAGGCAACGTCTCAAACTCAGCTGCAAAGTTTATTTCGAACACGCTTTATATACCCCATCTCCAACGCCGTTTCTACAAAAAAAAAAAAAAAAAAAAAAAAAAAAAAACATGACAAGAGGACAATGACACTTCGGTAAACCTTCTCTTATCTCCCTTGACCTTGGCTGTGGGACACTCACACAAAGGGTCACATTCTAGTATAACCTGTATAATAGCATAACCTCCGCCGGGTAGCGGAGCTTATGCTAGAATGTGACCCTTTGTGTGAGTGTCCCACAGCCAAGGTCAAGGGAGATAAGAGAAGGTTTACCGAAGTGTCAATGTCCTCTTGTCGTGTTTTTTTTTTTTTTTTTTTTTTGTAGAGACGGCATTGGAGATGGGGTATATAAAGCGTGTTCGAACTAAACTTTGCAGCTGAGTTTGAGACGTTGCCTCCTCTTTTACTACCTTCTGTTATGTTCTCTTTCTGCCCCAGTCTCAGGTTTACAATCATGTCCTTCTTTTATTTATTCTTTCTACATGGCGTTCTCGTAAGTTTGAGAACCTCCTCGTCCGATCCAGTTAAGAATGTTCTATGAGCCGAACGTTCCAGGCCGAATGTTCCAGAAGCCCACGCGTGTACAAAAGGGGCTCCGCGTTACATGCAGAGCCAGTCTCGCCCCAGTGCTCGATCCTGCGGTTTCTCCGACATCGACGCCCGCGACGCTCTGTGTTTTCTTCTGTTCTCTTTGTTTTGGGCACAAGTCGAAGGCCGGCTTTTCATCGAAAGGCACTTTAGTCTTTGGCGTATTGTCGGCCGCCGGTTTTCGTACAGGACCGCCGCAGACTGTCGCCACAAAGCGCCGTGAACGCCGGGGAGGGGGGAGGGTTTGCTAACAAGTGCCCCAGTCATTCGCTAAAGCGTCGATTCGCTCAAATGACCGTTCTTCGCTAAAACATCGTACGCTCACGTGATATGGAGTCGGCATGTCCACAATTCTGCTGACTACGAAAAAAAAAAAACTAAAAGATACATTGCATTTTTTTTTTTTTTAATGCGACATAGAGACAAATCGTTGCTCCATGGACGGTTTCGTGCAAGAAGCAGTCTGTCTCTTTTCAAGAACGATGACGTACCATTGAAAAAACATACCTTCATCACTGCACCTGACAATCACAGGTTTCAAAAGATGTTAGGTCTGTGTTCTCATTTTCTATAGGCATCATTAACATTGCAAGTCATCAGTCACAATGATGAAACAGAACTGGAAGTAGCAGAGAAATAAAGTTCCTTATTAGTTCCCTCACTCTGTAAAAAAATAAAGTTTATAAATTATAATGATATAACACTGCTATTCTTCCATTCTCAAAAATTCTATACTGCTCAACTAGGCGGTGTTCACTGAAATGGGTTTGATGAAATGGCATTCAATGCAATATCCGAACTCGCCACGCGGCCAACATCGTGATCAGTAGTCGGTGACAGGTAAAGCGGAAGCTCCTCCCACCTCTTTCCGCTTCAGCCGAGCAAACGCTGGAGAGGAGGCTCCTCTCCAGCGTTCGCTCTGCCAAAGGGGGGAGAGGTTGGAAAAGCTTCCACTTTACTCTTAGCCTAACACCAACTATACAAGTGTGCACCCCTCCCCCACCCCCCCCCCCCCCCCAAAAAAGAAAAAAGAAAAAAAAAGAAAAGAAATTACTGTGTTTTTTTTTTATTACAAAATTAAAAGATGCATTGCCGAACGCTCAGCCTCCGCCCGAATGTAGTGCTAGCAGTCTGAGCTAGGTATCAAAGTTTCAGAAATAACCATTACCTTATTCATAACGTATAGTTATTTTTTTAATGTTTCGATGGGAAAAATGGGGCCCGTTCTTGGTAATTGGTGCCGTTCAGCTCATATTCAAAGCCCTTTTTGGCCACTATTTTCCCGCTGAGAATTTCAGAAAATCACTTATAACTTTTGGATAAGGTAAAGGTGAGTATTGAAATTTTGACATGTGGTTTGGACCGCTAACACTACATTTGGGCGGAGAATGAGAGTTTGGTAATGCATAGTTTTTTTTTTTTGGTAAAAAGAAAACCAAAAAAACTTTGAACTGTATTTTGGATAGCCCTGTATACCCTTTCCCCCTCCCCCCAACTTACTTCACAAACTACACAAACCCTTGGTACATGCCCCCCATGCTAAACATATTGAAATAGAATGGTGCACAAATTATTGGTTCATGCACGCAGTAATATGGGAGGAGGCAGTTCTCCTACGATTCCCTAAAAAGGCTGTAGCCTGGACAGCTTTCGTATTGATAGAAGTGGTCATCAGCCCTTCTTTGTCGTGAATCAATTTCTTTTGTCCTTTTCTCAGGGCAGTCTCCCAGTGCTGCTGGGAACTCCAGAGATTTGCAACAAGCTATCACTGTCCAGAGATCTCCACAGCCAAGGATGCATACAGCTTTCTCAACAAAATCGGTGCCTACGCCGATTTGCCCCGGTTTTTCAAGCCTTGCACGAAAAGCGACGGCCAGTCGTGCCATCTGCTGGACCAGCTCGACATCTGGAACCAGTTTCTGCAAGAAGTGGGCATGCTGCTTGAGGAAGTGGCCCCGGAGACACTCAGCGTCGCTCCACAGCGCAGGGCTTCTGACGGCCTCGCAACGGAGGACTGCAATCCCGACGGATGGGTGCTCCTCTACTGGCTCTTCAAGGAACATCGCTGCATTGCAAACCTACAACTCCCCAGTCCCAACAAACATTCCCAGCTCCATCTGGGCGTTGCACTGAGCCAGAACTCTGGGCTGAGGACGCTGACACTGAGTTACGAGACGAGCGAAGAAGAGCTCAGGATGATCTACTCCACCATGACACGTTGGACAAAGCTAGAGAGCTTGACCATCAGCGGACTAGCGCTGTCCAATGACACTGCGGTGCTACTGGAAGCCTCCCTGGAGAAGCTACCATTGCTGAGGTCTCTGGAGGTATCTTTCTTGAGTATCGCTCCTGCTTGCGATGCTGAGCTGCTTAAGGGTGTCTTTGAGAGGATGTCAGCACTGACATCGCTCTCCTTGGACTTCACGTTCGAACCGTCAGATGTTGAATTGGTGCTCCGCTGCCTGGGACCTGGTCTGTCCGTGCTCAGCGTAGGTGACAGCTTTCTGGTACCCGAGGAAGGAGCGGTCTTCCAAGAATTCCTCGCTGGCAACACCGTCTTGAAGAAGCTCACCCTAATCCAAATGGTGTGCACAGGAATGGGTGAGCTCGATAATGTTTTCAAGGGTCTTCTAATAAATCATATCCTCGAGGAACTGCACCTCTTGAACTTTGTCCTCAAAAATTCTACGATGGAACTGCTTGCAGAAGCTGTGGTGGAGCACAGCACCCTGAAGATTCTGGAGGTTTATTTTTTTGACCAGTGCTGGGAGGTGGACGGTACACCTCTTGCGAAGATGCTGGGTCAGAACAAGAGCCTTCAAGAACTGAAGTTCGAAGGGGGCGAAGTTGCCTGCTACGACGCATTTGCCGAGGCAGTTCGCAAGAACACCACGCTGAAGAAGCTGTCTCTCGATCTTGTCCAGTTAGACGACTTGGCCGAAATCTTCGTCTACAGGGGGTTTCTGGAGGCACTTTCATGCAATGGAACGATCCAGCAGGTCACGTTGGAAAGCATTGACCCTGTTTTAGTCGGCCAATTCAGCGAGCTTCTCCGTGAGACCGGGACTGAGAGAAGGGTGACCTTTCAATTTGAGTTGACCAGCAGCCAGTTGTTTACTGAGGCACTGGAGAAATGCTCGGGACTCGCTGAAATGACATACTCAGACTGGGGGTCCAAAATCCCTGTGCCCCCAAGTGCATATCGGCACCTCATGCGCTATTACTACCTCGAGTACCTAGACATCGCCCTCTTCCATCAATCGATAAAGTACAAGGCAGCGACTACCCTGGCTGAGTTTCTTGCATCTACCAGAACCCTGCGGGCTGTCCGTCTCCGCTTCCACGCTTCACCGGCGGCCACACATGCACTCTTGGACAGCATCTCGTGCAATAGGAGCATTTCAAGTTTATTCATATCGAGGTGGACTTTCAACGAACGGAATGCCAACATGTTGTGGCAGATCTTGAGGAACAGCAACATTCTCAACAACATCTGGCTGTGGCTTGACTCTAAGAGCGATTTGCAGGCAATGAGCCAGCTTCCTGAACGTCTGCTAGACAACCACAGCCTGCTCTCTGCAAATTTTTCGGACTTCCCGGATTTCAAGTCGAAAGTCAGGGACGTGATGCGGCGGAACTTGTCGACCCTCTACCGTGCAGTGATGTTTGTTATGGGTTCGCATGGAAGGCGCTACGCCAAGGCCTTTGAGTGTGTCTCAAGGAGCCCAGCTTTGGTCGAGGAAGTGCAGAAGTATGCCTCCGAATCCAAGGAAGATGCCAAGGAACGGCTGAGATGTGCCAAGGTCTACCTGTACCAGCATTTCATGGTGGCAGCTGGTGTTGTCAAGGGCACTGTTACGTGCATCGAGAATGGACAACTCCAGCTAGATCAGATTGGCTTAGACAACTGGCTCCACATCCGACAATACCTCAAGGTGGCTGATATCGAGGAACCCACTGACCAGCCATAAACATCCAGTCACCTTTGCAAGAGGTGTTAGATATATGTAGAAATTCCTTGTAGCTCTTCGTTTTAATTTTTATTCAAAATGATTTCTTGTTTTAATTAACTACTAGAGAATCCTTCTTTATGTTATTTTTTGGTATCAGGCTTGTGGATTTTCCTGAATCTTTCCTAAGACGAAGTTTTGTTTCCTAAATTTGTTGGCATTGTTAAGAAGTTTCTTATGGGCTGTTGCTTCTTGTCACATTGTTTTTCAATATATAATTTGGAATTAAATGTGCCTTGGAAATTTTTTATGCTAGTATTGCTGACAGTTTGCAATTTTTTAAGTATAGTCTTCCAAGTAATGTGAAATGGTGGCACGCTTGAGGTTTCCCGCAATTTTTAAGTCATCTCCCACATTTCACAGTCTAAGAAATAAATAAGCGTTGAACTCTCGGAGCCTTGAAGACAACCACATATCTGTTATGAATATTTTAAAGATTATATTAGTGTTTATTTATTTATTTATTTATTTACTTATTCAATATACCCTTCAGCGCCCAGAGGCATTACAGAAAAGGGGGGGGGGGGAAACATACAGCCAGAGGAAAACAATAAACAAACCCTAGGTTTTGTGACATAAAGTTTGCTAGTGGAAAGAACAAGAAGAATAGTAAGCATTATACAATTATTAATACATTTTACATATCAGGAGATAAGGTACAGGCACTCTTCAAGAAGTTTGGAAAAAAACACATTGTTGGATGATACCATGACAAGCGGCTCGGGTTGACGGTTCCATTGATGAGTGGTACGAGGAAAAAAAGAGTGTTTAAAGATATTAGCGCGGCACGAATATTCGCGAAGCTTCTTCTGATGATCTACCCTGCGTGATATGAAGTGAGGCAACTGAAGGAACGATCCCCTGTTTATGCCCGTTTTGTTATTATAAATGTTATGAAAGAGTTTAAGAAATATTTACCAAGTTCCTACTTGGTTGGGAGCATGCAATGTTCACCTGAACATGCCACAACGAACTCGGATGCAGAAAGTGAGCCATCAGTGTTATGTGTTGTTCATGACTGACCTGCAATGCTTTGCTGAATCTAATAATAATAAACCAAATTTTTTACTGCATTTGTTTTTTGTAACAGACGATGAAGCAGAATTTCCACCTTTAGCTCCTTGACTTCCACCGTGCTTTGGTTGCGTGTGCTCGCGAAACGCCGAGGTGAGAAGGCAGAAGCTCTCAGTATTAGTATGGTGCCTGGATCGCGTCTCCGACTGGTGTGTTTAGCGTCCTATCCTTCCCATACAGCAAAAGTGGTCCCGAATGGCAACAAATGACGTCACAGAAGCCGGAGTGTCATGCTGTTGCCTGTCGCGATCCTGGCGGTTGGCCGTAGAAATGCTGGCGAAAAGCACGAGCAAACGTGAGTGTCGCTGTTGTCATGGCGTCCCAGGCGTCTCAACTTCCGGCTGCTTTAACTTCCTTGGACTGTCACAGTGAAGAGTGAGCTAGAGCAGACTAGGCGTCTACCACATACACCACAACTGTTGAGACGCCGCCAGGATCGCGATCGGCGACAGCATGACACTTCTACGACGTCATCAGGCGGAAATCGAGGGACCACTTTTTTGGACGCGGTAAGCACACCAGTAGGAGACGCGTTCCAGGCACCATAGTATGAGAGCGAGCGATTGCCTTGATCGCCGGACAACGCGCCATGCCAGCCACCAGTGCTGGACCCCATACTCCCCCGCCCCCATCTCCTATAGACCCATGGAGAATAGAAGGGTAGGAGAGGGCATGACGTCGGTCGCGTAGCCTCCACAAGCCATGCTCCCTTGACGCGTCGCCTCTTTCTCATTTTCCTCCTTACTCTCCTCACTTACCATGCCAACGTGACCACATCACGTGACCGTAGCTAGCCTTCGTCTTGCTATGGGGTACTAGAATACACCACAGTCTAGACTTCGGTCTGATAAAACCTACCGGACGAAGCGCGCGCAAGCCTGCAAGGATCCTTCTACAATCAACCATCCATCTCGCACGTGACATGTCACGCGCACCAATCGCCAGAGATATCTGCGGTCACGCTGGGCACAAAATCGTTTAAACTTTTTATGACTAGGCTTCACCAATATTGCAACGTGCTCCCCCTTAGTACTTATAACCTCCTTGTATAGACCTTTGCAAAAACAGCTCTCTGGCCACCGGCATTTTGCGAAACGAGCGACCCCTATCAGCCAGAAATTTCTGCCACCCGCCTGAGCTGTGGAAACCCGGTCAGCGTGACTCCCCACCTGCATTGTGCATTCGGAGTTCGCCAGCGTTTCTTGGAAGTTTTTACTTTATTTGCCTGTTGAGGATGCTTACCCTTTGTGCGTTATCTTCCACTGTGAGAACCAGGGAATACCAGAGCTCGTAGCCTGCTCCGCCTTCACAGGAAACGAATGAAGAGAGCGAACGCCAAGCAGCCCGCGACGCAGGCAGTTCGACGTTCTTGGAGGGTTATTTCCATTGAGATAATCTCCAGAGAGCTTTCCCGGCTATGTTCCGGGTCTTCGCGAAAAATAGCTGATAGGGTCGGGTCCGGGGTGTGGGGACGGAATTTGCTTTGGAACTGCAAAAAAGCAGCTCTTTTTACATGTGCCCCAAAACACGCTGGATTCCGTCCGTTCGTCGTGAAGTGACAATCGTCGACACTGTATATTGGATAGGCCGTGTTATTTGAGAGCTTTCTCAAATCCTGTTTGGATAACTCGGCACCGTGGGGTACGTACAATATATGTTGTTCGATGGATGAGACTCGTTAAATTTCATATTATGAGCGGGGAATGTAGTTCGGCTATCCGGTGTGGTCCAATTTTTTCGACAGTTAAGACCTGTGTAGATTGACACAGCTGAGTGTATGGTGCCGTAAAAAGATCAACATAATATAAAACACATTCCAGTAGCATTTGTTCTGTCGTCCACGGACTCACCAAAACAGCTTCCGTTTCTGTGTTTTTGTTCCCAAAAATAGTACAATGCATTCTTAAAACCCCCAAGAACTACCATATTCGCCATAGAACACAAAATAAAAAATAAAACGCGGCAATTTAGCCTCCACTAGCGTCCGGAAGTGCGGTTACGCAGGCTGCCACAGCCCACTGAGGAGAAAACCCACAGCCCAACGCAGTTGGGCAACACTGATGTACCCTCTCCAAACCAGGGACGCGCGCTGTAAATCGCTTCAGTCGAGGCTGCCGCTGGAAAGTAACTCCTCCCTCTATCCCCCAACTTTTCTCCCCTCTCCCCCCCCCCCCCCCCCCCCAAGAGCCATGCAGTGACCAAAGCGCCCAGTGCGCCTCTGGTGCGCATACACCAAGGGTGGCCAAGCTGCAGCTGCACACCTACCCCCCCGCTCCCCCCCCCCCCCCCCCCCACACACACACACACACACATACTCCCTCGCCTCCCTCCCGATCACACAAGCACTTCTCAAAAAAAAAAAAAAAATGTGCAGTGCAAGTACCCTTCAAATCGCGCTTTCGGCTGTCGAACTTGGCACGCTTGACGTAACGCAGCTCGGGTTTTTTTTTTTTTTTTTTTTCAACTTTTCACCCCTCAACTTCCCTCCCCCCTCCCCCCCCCCCCCCCCCAAGCTTTCTCATCCCATCTCATCTTATGCAGAGGGCGCAAGTTGCCGCCCAATCCTAGGCACTATCCTTTGTTTGTTGTTCATGGTGGTTCATGGTTTGTTGTGTTGAAGTCGTCGATCTACTGGTACAACTGCGGATCGTACCTTTGCTAGGCACCATACCTTTGCTGCCTTTGCTGCCTTGGCGCACTGTCTGGGCGCTGAAAGCAGTTTAGAGGTCATGTTTAGCAGTTTGTCGTGACAGTGTTAGTGCATGCTGGAGGGGAAGACAGGTTTTATCATGCCAACGAAGGCGGACCTCCATGCCATGGATTCGGGTTCCTGTGAAACGGTAACGGAGATGCCTGTCCAGCCGCTTACATAAGCCATTGTCGTGTAATCAACGACAGTCAACGATAACGCTGATCCATAATTCGTGGTCTTAAACAGCATGAACGAGGCATTCTCTTTTAATTCTTACAATGCCACGTAGACTGCCGTTTGATCACTTACTATGATTTGCGTCTGTGAACAGCCGCCGTCATATGCGAGCTTACTGCCAACGTCACTATTAATTTATTATTGACTTATTTATTTGTTACTGACAGGCCCAGAGAGGCCTTAGATGAGGGTGTAAACGGGTGTAGCACGGTTGCCCCGCGTGCAGAATCCCTTTTGCAAAAGCCCCGCGTTCAATTACCCCGTTGCGTATTCCTCGCGTGCCAAAAGCCCCATCCTCACTGTCCCCTTCCTACTCTCTTCGCGTTTCAACCATCATTGTTATCTGTCTTAAGCTAATCTGTTGAGGGTCTACAAAGGCTTTATAGACCTGTCCAGAAAGTCCGAGGAGACCTTATCCGCCTTAAACGCTTTGTATATCCTGGTCAGAACAATTCAATTGTTCTGACCGTTAAAAGCCCAGAATACATGCAAAAATTAAGTGAATGGAAACGGTCATCACATATTCCGTTTTTGTTTATCTTCTTCTTCCTCTGCGTTCTGAAATCACAAACCGTTGAGCTAACGTCAACTTTGACTTCGCTTCTTGGATAATTTCACGTGCCTAACATCTAAACGTCACAGTGTGTAAAGCAGACGATGGCGGGCACCACCAATTTCCAGAAAGGTCTGTTAAGTGAAAGGAACAACAACATGCATAGCTTGCATGTGACATCATTCGCGGCCATGTCAGTATTTTATGCGCCGGTAGCGTTCGGTTCGCCGTGTTAGTTGCACACCGCAGATGTTGTAGTTTGAAGAAACCAGTAAGTAGAAATAACCGTACGTACCAAACAATGGCGACACTTGCAAGCTATGTATAAGGTTACCTTGAACTGCCAAAAAACTTGGAACGATGTGCAAGGGGCCAATTACATAAATCTGCGTCCCCAGCAATGCACTCCGCTGTCATGGAGGGAGCTCACATGCAGATTTAGACTTTATCTACCTAGATGAATAGAAATATATATTAAAAAAAAAAAACGACGTAAGAAGAATGGAATTGGTGTTTGGTGCTGTGATAAGTATGGCACCATGTGCTGCAGGTTGACAGTTTTGACAGAACCCACTTCGTTGGATCTGTGAATCCGTACCTGCTTCAGAGTTGAATGGTTTTGCTGATTGCTTATTGATAAAAGCCGTCACTTCAAATGTTTTGCCACGGGAGTGATATTTGTGCTTGTTTTCACTTCTAACGTTGCAAGACGTGAATTTGTTTAGTGCACGGCTGAAGAATGGAAAGTTTCATTCAGTTATTCCTTACCTAAAGTCTGGGTATGGCATGATTATGGTTACACAAGGTCACATGCACACTTACTGTCTCTTAGTTAAAAGCTTGATGTTCAGCCGTCTGATTCAGGACTGACTTGATCACCTGACACGGGGGATTTGTGTCATGGGCTTTTGAAAGCGGGGCAAAGCAAAGATTTGCGTCTATTTAGAAGTAAGCACAGGTACGGACATGGTGCAATCGAATTCTTGGTTTCCTTGGAGAAGTCTACGTCTGAACATCAACTTTTCAGAGTTGGATCTTTCTAGCATAGCTCAGACATTTTTCATATTAGCGTGATCGACTCTGTTACAACCGTTTACTACTGGTCCCTTCAGCGTGTCGTAGTCGAACGCAGTGAATCTTGCACTCAAATGCAAATGTCGGAACCAGCCTCTAAAGCAGGGGTCTCTAACTCTCCAGGACGCGGCCCGCAAGCATCCCGCGGCAGCGAGCCCCCGTTTCCACTCCTCGAGCGCTACATGCGCCATAAATGATAGTTTCATATCTTTGTTTCGTTGCCGTTTGAAAAGGAACTGTGCTCATATTATGTGTTCACGGATTTCACACTATTCTCTTGTCTTTTAGACTGAGTATTGTTTCATCTAAATATTTGCTTCTTGGCCCTTTGTCGAATAAATCAGCCGGAACAACAATAGCACTACTAGGCTACAAGCTCTTTGCTCAAGGAGGCACCTTGGCTACACAAACTCTCGCTTGGAAGGAGTGACTGCCAAAGAGAAAGCAGGGAGATCGGTGGCCGAGTGGGCTAGTGCACACCATCTCGGAGCACGTGCAGTGGAAGGTCGTGCTGCAGAACTCGCGGGGTGGGGTCCTGGGTTGAATCCTTGCCCCTGCCTGTTTCAATCTGGATCAGCATGGGCATTGTGCCGGCGTGCGGTCGTGTATCAGTACTGCGTGCCTGCCAATTCTCTCGAATTGTCCGGGAGCCTCCCGAATTTCGATCACATCTCCCGATTGTACGGACGTGACCTCAAATCTTCCAAAAAGTATCCGCCATAGTTTTTTTACTTTTTTTATGACGCCTTTTTGCTATAATTATCACGCGTTTGTCATTGCGTGTTACTCCAGAGTAGGTTTAGGTTACTCCGGCGGGTTATCACACGACAACTCAGAGCAGAAGCGTAAAACGATGGTAGATTGTTGAACGCCAAGGTACGAAACCTCTACTCCTGAAGTTAGAGCGCATTTTGGAACACAGCTTATATGATCATGGGTGCGCTAGGCTTCAGATCAGATGGCTTTGTCAGGTGGTCGAGTGAGGTGCGGAACGCCGAACTACTCTTCGTGTTTCCCCGAGTTTAGTTGGAACCACTGATCTGTTGGAACGATCGATGGCACTTTCAAAAGCCACGAAGAAGTACCCTCAAGTATTTCTGAGATCATACGCGACTGAGTTTCCGTGCTTTGTCGCTTCGTGGAAAGCGGACAAGTATGGATTCTGTAACATGTGTGCCTGTGATGTGTGAGCGTTTCACATGGCGGCAAGCTTGACATCAAGATACACATCGCTTCACAAAAGCATCAGAACCATGCTCGTGCCATAGAAGGGCAGGGCACCACCGGCAGTTCACTCCAAAACAACTGCGAAGAGAGTGTGATTCGCGCAGAGTGTTTTTTCACAAGGTTTCTTGTCAAACTAAAAAAAAATAAAAATAATGTTTCAACCTTCCCCCCCACTCGGCGGTCTCCCGAATTTTTATGTTGCAGGGTTGGCAGGTATGGTACTGCATGACGCACGTTACAGACCCCAGCCTAGCAGTTGTACTGCACTGGCTAAATTGCTCATCTACAGCCGAGACACCAGATGCTCATTGCAGCTGACTAACTCCCGGCTGTATAAACATACACAAAACACAATTGTTATTATTACAAAGATAAACTTTTGAGCTTGGGCTTCTAGCCATCAGAAAATCTCTTTAAAATATAAGTAATTTACTATAATGCTACTCATAAACGAAAAGTTTTCAATTCCCCCCCCCCCAGAAAGACGCATTACAAAGCTACAAATGCGATTTCCTCTAGCAAATAATTATTCGAAATGAATCATTTTTTGCAGTGCATCATAGTAATAAGAAGCAAGCTCTAGATACAGGAGTTGCCGAATAAATATGCGAGTATGCTCAATTTAGCTTTGTTATCTTGTTAGTTTTGATCACAAACATTACTTAATGCATATTACTCCACCCTAGTACTAAGTGGCAGTTACTATAATTTTGTTTGTGATATTACCGGAGCAGTGTTAACATGCGAGGTCCCACCTTACACCTTCATGTCTCAAATGTCGAAGTTCTATGGAACGAAGACAATGAGAATGTTGAAGACATAAAGGAGGATTGTTTAAATAAAAGAAAAAGCACACGAGGCTTACTTGATGCTAGCTTGGCTCTCCCTTATGAAAAAACAAAAAGAAAGGACCTCCCTTCTTGTCCTCCTCATCACCCCCTCGTAATGTTGAGGCAACACCCAAGTAGAGAGTTACCGTGGAGCCAGGATGACACTCGGTAAATAACCCGGCGGCTGCGACTCTCGAGTCTGCGGTCGTCGGTCGCTCAAGCTTCTTTGCTTTCTCGGTCGTGTCTGATGGCGCTTTCGAATTTTGCCGCCTGTTGCCGCCGTAGAACAACAACACATCGCCGACAAGATGTAGATGTTGTTGAGTTTCTGAAAAAACTTAACCGTAAGTGGTGCAAACCACCACCCGATCTAAAGTGTTTGGCCTTACGCATCCATCCATTCGTCTCGATCCGACAGCGGAGCTGTTCGAGCTGGACGGACGACCTGCCGGCCTGCCAACTGTCGGCCGTCGGATTTTGCGCGGGCCAGACGGCTGCCACCGACACGCCCAAGAACTCCGAGCAGACGTGTCAGGACTGTTGGTTCCGCTTCAGGTGAGGCGTCGACTTCGCAGCATGTGCAGCCAACGTTTGCACCGCATGTTTGAATACAGAATCTTGGTCTGCAGTGCCTTACTGTTTGTACTTTTCATTGATACTAACTTCGTTGAAGTTGTTAAGTGCCTTGCCGTCCCACGTGTTGTATTTATCTATTTCGTGTGCATATGTTTAACCACTTCAAGTGTGCAAACCTCATCCATTTAGATTGGTTTGTTTTCGTCTGTGTAGTGCAGCCTTGTGATGCTTGGTGGTTAATTGTGTTCCTTGCTTCCTTTGGTTTAATACCTTGGTTTATTTAAGCTTGGCGCAGTATGGCCATAGTAGCTTTGCGCCATAAAGCCTGTAATCGACAACAAAAACCTTGGTTTATATTGCAACCCATATTATATAGCTCTTATCATCTGTTTCCGCCCATTTTTTAAATTTTTTATTTCTCTGCCATAATATTATTTGCAGTATCCTCTTTATACTACTCAATAATTACTGTTCTTGTCGCCTTAAGTTCAGATTGGCATGGCACTTCTGCGCATTGGTGCAGTCACTACTGCTTAATGCACGCTAAAGACCCCAGGTTAGCAGTCGTACCGTGAAAGCCATAGGACCCTCTGCAGTGAAGACGCACGTTGCATCCTACCTTAAAGGGCAACTCTAGTCAGAAATTGAGCCAAAATGAATGACCGATATCAATTTACGGAGTCTAAATACGAGCTCTGCATAAATATTACACTAACGGGAAACCGTGGTCCACTCTAAACCCAATATTCAAAATGCTACCTCCAGCTTCTCAGCGGACAATCAGCGGGGTCGGCTGTTTGTCGAGCAACCTTGTGCCCCGATGTCATGTTTGTACTCGAGGAGGTTACTGTTCACACTGCCACTTCTTTTGTCATGTTTTTTTACTGCGTTTTCGGCCGTCTTAGTGGATGATTTCTGCTTGTTATGCTACGTTTTAGCAACCATAGTTTGTAAGTGCTCCTTGCCGATCCCACACAAAAATTCCTGCTCGCTCAAGCGCGTCGTGGTGCCGAAGGGGGCGTTCACTGGCGGCCATAGTTCAGTCTGTTCCTTTTCAGCTTGAGCAGAGTCCTTCATTATTACTGTTTGGTGGGAACAGGGCAAAAAAACGTAGGACCAGGACGAAGAAACATACAGGCAGCGCCCTGTCTGTGTGTTTCTTTGTCTTGGTCCTATGTTTTTTTGTGCTGTTCCCACCAAACAGTATTAACCACCAACTAGCCCAACTACATGTCTTGTTGTCCTTCAATAATACCCTACCGGTCATGACGAAACTTTGGCCAAAGTTTGGTAAGGGTCGATAGCTGCTGGTCTTGGAGGGGGCATTTTCGTTTGGCTGCCCCATTCTCAGCGAGCCACCCTGAATTCGCGATTACAAGTAGGTTGCAAAAACAATTTCTTGTACACCAAAACTTTGTTACGCCTGTATTTGATCACTGTATGCAAGCACCGGTCATTCTATATTGATCTCTGACAAAAGAACTTGCAGATAAGATTTTTTCGGTTGTTTTCAAAGAGAACAGTGCTATTCCAAGCGAAAAGGAGCTAGGCAATTGAGTGTACTTGTTTGCAATGCCAGTGATGTGATTGCTGTGCCAATTGTGCCAAACTGCACCAAGGGGCTAACCCTGATACATCCTGCTACATTATTCCGGAATATGGGTAATCTGCATCAAGCCTGCGCCAAAGGACCAATTTCGGTCGCCTTTCAAAACTGAAACTAAACTGAGTACCGTCAGCTAGGTGGCGCAAGCGGCCGCCCGACACAAAGTACCTTGCATCAATCGTCCATCTGGTCTTGCATGGTTTTTTCCACCTTCTCTTGTTTCACACTCTCGTCGTCTCGTGGGTCTCGTCTCGCGGGTCTCGTCTCGCGTCTTTTTTAAATCTTTGTTAGGATAGATGCAAGCGTGTGCGGACGCTCCGATGCTACCGTGCCGGGTACCAGCCATGTTGTCGTATTGTGAAATTAAACCACGTTTTTGTGCGGCGGGAGTTACTTCGTGAGCTGAAGCACTCACTTCTGAAAGCAACAGCCGTGGGAAAATTATGTTTGGTCCCTGCCTACCAGTCACTGTGGTTGCATGACATCGGGTGTTGCCGTTCCCACGTCTATGCAGATATGGTGCTTTCTAAACTGAAACGTAAGGACTGCTGCAAAGTCATCAACGTTCCTGTTCTTGTTTAAATCATACGCTACTACAAAAATCCCTCTTTAACTCAAAGACTGCTGTGTCGAAGTATTGATTACCTAGGTTTCTTTCGCTAGGCTTTTTTTTGAGAGGGACCCTGGTTTGTGAAAAGTTTGCCGCGAAAGAGAGTTTGTGAAAAGAAGGGAGCTAAAGCAAAAAAAGGCAATGTCTGCACGCTGAACCCACACAGCACTCTTGTTTGTCTTGAGTTCAGTCGTTGCACAAAGCGCTCCAAGAACACTTTGACCCTGACTCGCGATGTCTTGCACCAATACGCTCAGGTTCTTTTTTTTTTCTGTGCGTTTAGCTTGCACCTCGCCTGCTAGCCTGGCAAGCATGCGCCGCTGGACTGTTTTTTGTTGTATGCTGGACCGTTACATTTTGCATACAATTTTGGGAACCAGTTGGCGGCGGAGCGGAGTGGCATGGTTTTGATCGAACAGCCATCTCCGCTCGCACGACGAAGTGTGTGCAACTGCAAGCTGCTGAAGCTGCCCTCACATGCATGCGAACATGATTGCAGGACCGAGGCACCAGCCGGGACGCTTGCAATCCATTGCTTTACGTTTGCTTGCTTTTGACGAAAATCTGGCACGTCGGGAACCAGTAAAACGGTGGCAAGCGGTTTTTTGGAATTGCTCGGCAATGCCTACAGCACTGTGTACACTTGTGGGATGTCTCAATGTCTCTTTGGAGACATTGAAAGTGGACATTCATTACTTGTCGAAGGCAAAGCGAGGCTTGCAGCAGTCTTGCAGAAAGTTTCGAAAAGCAAAAGGAAAAGCACCCGCTAGTCGTACTGCACCTTTTTCTTGTGTACAGTTTCGCATTGCACTGAAGTAGTTACATGTTTCATCAGTTGGAGACTGCTTAAATATATTATATTATATAATTAGTCAACTTTATGCTTTGATATTTACTAATAAGCTGGTCATATTCAAATAAATTTAATATTTGCAGTTTGGTTCTTATTTATCTATAGTGGGTACATATATACATATCATTTAACTGAAGCATTGCAAAAAGTGTTATGTCATTGGCATATCAGTTAACATGTTGAAAGACTCACATGTGGTCTTACTTGAGCATAATTTGTTTATTGTGGCGAGCAAATTATCCTTCATTTTTCCAGCACTTAAAACAAATATTTTTATTTTTCTAAGAATATCTGCTCCAAAAGCCACTTTTTTCTGCCCCAAAACACCATTTTGGCTGCTTCATAAGACACATTTACTGCTTCAAAACACCGTTTTGGCTGCTCCGAAAGGTGCTCCAAAACGGCTTAGGCCAATCACATCACTGCAATGCCTCTACTGGATGGCGCTAGACATGGCCTTGAACTTCTGCGGGGCCGGGGGCTGGCGGGTTTGAAAGGTCATTTTGCGAAAAGGAACAGGAATAAAAATGGTTATATTGGTTAGCATTGCAGATGTATAAGATTGACCGGTTGATTAATTCTATGGAGCCAAAGACGCTTACATTAACGAGAAACACCGTCAGTGCGTCGACGTGTTATCTCGATTTATAGGTGGCCCATTCGAAGGGTGTTCGAAGGATGGATGAATGCTAACAGCCGTACCTTTTATATCGGGCGGTAGCTTGCGCCACCTAGCCAATAAGTTAAGAACCAAGAGTATGATTTGTTTTCTTTGCCAATTTGCTTACCCGCTGCAACCTTGTAGCTATCACCAGGTGGTGTGGGACATCACTAGGATGACCTTCGAGGAATCGGGCAAAAAAACAAAAAAAAAACTTCACCCCCGCCTCTTCCCCCCGGCAAGGGAGGCGCCAATTTTCTTCTGGTCAAACCTAGTCGGTGTTACCCTAGCACTGGGCCCACTGGGAGACAGGGTGGAGACTGTGGGCCACGGGGGAAGAAGTCCCAATTTTTCTCCGTCCCGCCTGTCTCCAGTTGTGTCAGCTAGTTGTGTGCCATTCAATTCTCCCTAGACAATTTCCACCAGTCTTCCAATCTCCTCTTTTTAATGCGAAAGCATTAACTGTCCCGTGGAGTGTAGCTGGCAATGGCTGTGACCGCGAGAAACGGGCATCTAAATGTGGCAGTTGAAATGGCTGCGACGCGTTCCCGTCGGCTGCGACGAGTCATATCAGATGCTCGTTCACGGAAGTCGGCGGGGCACTGAAGGTCTAAAGCGGACGCGCCTCAGAAAAAGAACATAAAGAAAAGAAAAGCAACACAGTTGCATCGTCACGGAAAGTGTGGAGCCGGCAGAGCTCGCCGTGCCTGCGTAGTGGGAGAGCGTGACGTCACCGCCGGAGCGCCGTGTGTGATAGGTAGACGTTGCGCGGTGCTTTTAGGAATGTGCTGCGTGTGGGAATGTTTTTGCATTCCTTCACGTAAGCAGTTTTAACTGTCCTAGCTTTTGTAATTTTTTATTAAAATTCACATCATCCATTTTTTTCATTCTTGTCTGCAAACCCCAGCGCTCCGGCCACATCCGTCACCCCCTCTGGGAGGGCGGGAGCAAGCACTTTGCACCTCAACACCTCATGTTCTATTGTCTCGTCTTCCTCTTATCATACGGCACGCCGCGTATCGGTTTCCTTGTACTTTGTCCTATATGTCCTAGTCCTCAAGACTCCTGTTCTAACCTTGAGTAACAACGAGCTCCCCCGTGAATTATCGTACCAATGTTCCTTCCTTATTTCCTGTTTTCATCTCCTGTACATAGTCAAAGCTGATTTAGCAACGTGAAATTCCGACGCACTTTTGGGTTGCCAGACTCCCACAGTGCAGGCTAGATTAGCGACTCCTAGCCTCCTTGTCGACGTAAGCGCTGCGCGTGGTCGCATACCAAGCTCTCCTATAGCGTTATGGAGAAGTTTTGGGACCAGCAACGAATTGCACAACTTTGGTGCAAGCCCCTTATGATTAGCTTCCACAATGCTTTCTTAAATGTGCATTGTACACCACCAAGATTGTAGTTCTTTTCAGAAGATAAGTGGGGGTAACTCATGTTGAACCTGCACTGTGCCTGCATTTATCGTGACGAAATCGCTTTTTGGCCGGCAACTTCATGAATGTACGATAATGTTTGCTACAGATGCTTGATATCTACAAAGCAAAGCTCTAAAACAGCCGTAGCATCTCATTTCACTGATTGGAACTGCTCTTGCGACTAGCCAGTCGTATGTTTGGCGATACCGCGGTACAAACTTTGCGTCGCACGATGACCATGCAGCTTATCACAAGGGTTGCCATCATGCTTGAGCCGGTAGTTTCGGTTTCCCCGTAGACCTTCGAGACAAAGCTTTGACATAAGATATCTATAAAACTACACAAGACATTGGAAAAAAGAAAAAAGTTACATCTCGTAATCTAGGGACACTTCCTTCACTAAAAACAGTCGTAACCCTAAAATCAAGAAAATGTACTGGGGTAACCTTTTAATGTAGACTTACTCCTCACTTAAGGAGCGTAAGATGCATGTTTGGATGACTCGGATATTCTGAAGCAGCGTAAAAATAGGACAATAATACTTTGCCTAGGAATGAAAGCGGCTCAAGAAACTTGAAAGCTTTCGGAGTACTCTGGGCAGCTTCCTAGGAACCCAGAGTGGGAACCTGTATTATTGAACGTCTGTAAGTGCTTCTATCTATAGCATCAGTGTTCGAACCGCCCGCACTGGCCAGATGGCGCAAGTAACCACCTGATTGAAAAAAAAGGTCCAGCCGTATACATACGTCCGTCCACCCCAGGCCCGAGCCGGACACGTGGGTGTACGGCCTGCTGAGTGCCCTGGGGGGCATGATGACGGCCGACTTTGCCCGCGAGCGCCTGCCGGCAGAACTCCTGCTCGGCCAGCTGGAGGCGGCTCCGGGCGACGTCCAAGTGCGCGACGTCCTGCGTCAAGGATTCCTCCTTGTGGACCGTGCCTTTCTGCAGTCCATTGACACGTTGCTTCTGAACAGGGCAACGCTGCAGCTGCAGTTGCAGGTGAGGAGTCTTGAAGGACCCTCGAGATTCCCAGAGTGATCACCAGCCTTTGCAGACATCTCTGTAGATGTATAGAATACTTGTTTTCAATAGATTCCTTTAGATCTACAGAAGCTTTCTATAGATCTTTATATATGGTGTCTGTAGGTCCCTACAGCTCTATAGTAGGGGTCTCAAACACGCGGGCCTGCATGCAACCGGCTACGAGTCCCGGTTCCCACGTCTCGAGTGGTAGAAATAGCATGTGCCATAGTGATCTCATCTCGGCGATTCATTTTCGCTCGAAATGTAGTTCTACTCTTTTAATATGGTCCCTAGAAAGACTGGCTAGTCCCCGTTCGAACGCCCCTCTCCACACAGTGAGATGGCAGCGCCGTGGATGAAATTGCAGGGGGCACTGCGTGTAGTCGTCATGCTGTTGTAGCTGCTACCTTCCTCACTTACCTTCTTCAGACTCAACGAGCTTACTGAGAAAAGCATTGTTGACTTCTCTGCTTTCTTAGTAAGGATAGACTTACCTTTGCTAGACTGTGAGGTGCGTGCAATGGCAATAACAACAAGCATTCTTCATCCTCCTCCTCTTCCGCCTTTACACCAAAGCAATGAACAACGAGAGGGCAGCAAGGCGAGAAGGGCTAAGGCTTCTGAAGACCAGGAGATATAGACAATTCAGCTGTGAAGTGCTCATTTGCTTCTGTTTGTCATATTTTCTCCAGATTTCTTTTGTGGCTTGGTAACTGCCAAATTCTGGCACACCGATCGCTCGCAGTGCCTTGCGCTCGCTTTCATTCCACAGCAGTCGCCGAAGGGGGCAGCGAACGGAAGACTGGCAAGTCTTTCTAGGCACCATACTTTTAACGGAATAAGTTTATACTTATTTCTGTTCATTTGCCCTTTGTTTCGCTTTCTTTTTTTTTGTTACCCAGTTTCTTGTAATGTACAACAATTCTGCTACTAGGCTGCAAGCGTGAGCTATTCATTAAAGGGTGCATTCCAGCTGTGCGAACTCTCGACCAGCAGGAGGAACTCCCAAAGATAAAGCTAGGAGCTCGGAATTCTTGCCTTAAAAAAAACATCACTCTTAAAAGACGAGTATTTGTTCAGAATGTTATAATAAAATTGCCAGAAAAGCAAGAACTGTAAAATTACCTGATCAATTTGTTAAGAGACATGTTGAACTTGGTTAGTTCCTGAGTGAATTCAGCAGCAAGAATGGCAGTGTACTTGCTCTCTTGTTCTATTAAAAATGTCATATCCCGTTGGCGGGGGCGGTGTCATTTTAATTGTTGTTATGATTATCAGATCAGGTCAGTGCCCAAAGTTGTCTTATAAACAAATAAAATCTAAAGATGTCACTGGCAAAACGTTGAGTTTATAAAAAACATAAAGCACAAGGTCTCTTCTCTTTAAAATCGTTTGAATCCCCCTCTCCCCGCCCCCCTTCCCCCCCATCTTAACGTTGTTGGCCCTTGACCTTTCCAGTGGGGGCCATCTGGCCCCCACACTCAAGGGTCTTGAGACCACTGCTCTATAGAATCTTTTTATAGATCTCTATATTTTGAGAACTTTTCTAGATCTCTACAAGTTTTCTGTTTATCTCTATTTATGTGCTTAAGTTTTTTGTTGATCACTATAGACCAGGGGGTGACCAGGCTGACCCGGCCTAAGAGCCGCTAACGAAACCACGAAACTTCCAAGAGCCGCGTGGGGGGAGGGGAGGGGAGAGGAGAGGAGGAGAGGAGAGGAGGAGGAGGAGGAGGAGGAGGAGGAGGAGGAGGAGGAGGAGGAGGAGGAGGAGGAGGAGGAGGGGGGGGGAAAGAAGGGGGGAACTTTTGTAACTCGAATTACTTTCAATCTATCCGAGACAAAAGCAGTCCATCTGTACGTAAGGTAGCAGTAGCAGAGGATTACCAAAGTGCAACGTGTTTTTCGATTTAAAACATGCTCCATTTCTTTTTTGGAAGAAGTGCTCATGTGACCGGGAGGGAGGTGGAGGATTAGGCCCGGGGGGGGGGGGGGGGGGGGGGGATAGGGGAGGGAAGCGCGAGTTGCACTTTAACATGTGAAGAGCCGCATGCGGCTCGTGAGCCGCAGCTTGGCCACCCCTGCTATAGACCATTAGGAGTGTTGTTTTGTTCTTTATAGATCTATAGGAGCTTTTTTAGATCTTGTATACATATCTATAAGAGTTTTTTTTTGTAGACATCTATGGATACATAGAAATCGATAATCAGAAAACTTTATCTAGATTTCTAACTTCGTTCATAAGAACCAGGGTTTCCCAAGAGTGCCCTCATGAGTTCAAGTTCTAAAAATTCCTTGACCAACCCTACCTATAGTCAAAGTGCTTTATCAATTTTTGCACCATTGTAGAGTGTCTGAGCTACCAATTGATGCATGACTATGAGACAAACTTTTTTAACACTGTTTACAAGTCCTGTAGGCTTCTGGACTGCATTATTTCATCAATGCCAAGACCAGAAGGGGATTTTTTGGCTACCGCTCAAGGCAGGTAAAGGTTCCTCTAGTAGATAAAAGCATTTACTAATCATCATTCTATAGGAAATACTAAGTTCAGTAAGCAGCCGACGCAGATGAACACTGAAGGAAGTTCAACAACTGAGGTGATCTAGTAACGTTGGATCGCACAGTTTGGTGCAGCTTGTTAAACAAGGAGAAATGTTTGGGACCTAGTATATTTTTCGTTGGTCGTTCGTTCTCTTGTTGCAGAATGTCTCTGCCTATGAGCTGCTCACACGCCAGCCGATGCTGGCTGACGAACTGTCCCGGGTGAATCGGCAGATCTCAGCCGCGTGTTCAGCCAGCCTGGCTGTCCTACGTCGGGGGCTCCTCTTCGTGGCGCATGTCGGTGGGTCGCTCGGCTTACGTTGGCCGGTAAACGGCTAAGCACGGCAAGACTAGCCTGGGATTTAAAGACTGGTTCAAGCATGATAGTAACGAACTGCTGAGTGAGGAAGGCAAACGTGCATGTGCAGTGCAAGCATCGTTCAGGGCAACGTGCTTGTGCTTGTAGCTTCTGCTTCGCTTGCACAGATGAAGTGGAGCAAAAACTATAGGATGTGGATAGTGGATCTTGGGCTGTGAAACAGGCGGGACAATTCGGCGCCTGCACATGGAAAGTTCTGACTTTCATCAAATGTGCATCGAGGTGGTCAACTTTACCTTTTGAAATTTCAAGGCATAGCTCCCTTCTCGGAAGACACGAGACCAACAAACTGGCCAAGGTCAACGGTAGACATGTTCACAGATGACGGAGTTAGAAGTGGATGTAACTTGTGGCGCCGTCTCTCGCAAGCAGACAGCGGAAAGCGTTGTCTGCTCGCTGCGTCTTTCGTGAGGGGGTGCCAAGTTACCTTCATCGCTAACTCTGTCATCTGTGGAGAGCATTTGTGACTCACTTTGTGTGTCGGTCTTTGAAAGCCCGTTGCCATTTGCTGTCACTAAGCCGCAAAGCCGGTGGTACTTTATTATTCGTGAAAGGCAGTGTTCTACATGCTGCTGGGTTAATGCACCCTTTCATGATACCCGGGCAAACCACAACCTACTTTGCGTCATGGAAGGTGCAGTATGGTGCTGTTACTAGTGGGGGAGGCACAGTGGCATTGACCTAGAAGCATTAAAGTGCTGATAAAAAGATGAAATTGACATCAGTGACTGTAGCACATTGCCTCGCAAAACTTAAGGCCTTTTCCATTTGGCAGAAATATTTGGGGAAGCTACAAGAACAATATCGTCGCATCAATTGCAACGACAATTTGAGCGACTAACTTTTTTTTGTGGCTTAGCACTGGAACTTTTCCAAAGATTAGCCTACCTCACTTTTGTTGTTGTGGACTCTGCACCACAGGACTTGGCAGGGTCTTGCTGGTGCGCAAAGATGGCAGCGCCCTGTCGGTGGAGCAACTCAGCGTGGAGCACAGCGTTTCCAATGAGGACGAGCTGCTGCGGCTGGTGCAGCTGGGATTGGATCCCGAGGCCCTGAGGGCCCAGCCCCCTCCCTTGACCCGCTGCTTGGGGGGATATCTGCTCAAGGCAGGGCACAAGGAAAGCCCCCTCCTCAGGTGGGGACGCTTGGCCCCTCCTGGGATGAACAGAGTTGCCGGTATGATGCAGTCGGTCTGGTGACCTGCGGGTACGATGCCAATGCGCCGACATCATATCAGCAACACATTGGTACGTTGCCACAGGTTGGTGGCCTGCCTGTAGAATACTAACATGCAGTGGGTATTGTATTGGTGGCACGTACATAGGTACGATACCCCGGGTATGGTCACCTGCCGGTATGATGTTGACGTGTGGTCTTCACACGCGCCACCAAAGTTAGGTGGATGAAAAGAATTGCACGGTGGAGGCGGAGCTTCTGCTGCATTTTTAGCCTGTCACTGAGTACACACCCTTCTTTGGACGTAATACAAGCTACTTTCCTAAGAATAACGTCTCCAAAGCTACCCGGTATCAGTGTTGCCATTTGTCGTCCACTTTTATCGACGCATACGACAGAAGGTCCGGCGGGCATTTTACGAAGTTTCCCCCGTTTGTTGAAACAATCTGCGACAAAGGCAAGGGTGCATTGGTGCTGTCCCAGCGTCGCGTCTCCAGCAGACGTGTTTACCGGGTCGTTCCCCAATGGCCGCCCGGCCTTGCAGGGAGGCTAAGGAGGAACCCGTGCTGGCCGAGCCGGAGATTTGCGGAGGCATTCGAGTCGACGAGAGCTGCCTCTACCTCCTGCTGCTGTCAGAGGGACTCTGTCAGGCGCTCAAGGACGCAGGCATGCAAGACGTGAGTGGTGCAGGGTGCGGCAGCGTCCGTACAAACGAGCATTCTTTTGACTTTTTCTCTCTCTTCCTTGCCACTTGTTTGCTGTCGTCGGAGTTACTACCGTTGTAACTGACAGGGCTAGCACGGCGAAGAGGCCCTTCGGTTGTCCCGCCTCCGGCGCAAGCTCTCTGCCTTTGATGGTGCTTTGGTATCTCGCGATTCCCGAGCGCGCACGCGCAGCCAAAGCATGGCGGAAGGCAGTGAGTGCTCGCTGCAGGCGGGTCATCTGAAGAAGACGTTTCACTGATTTGTCGTGACACTGACAAATCCGCGTGTCTCTGACATATCATCGTGACTACATTGGGGTAGAATCCCAAGCAGCACAGATTCGGCCCATCATTGGCCAATGGCTGGCAATGGTCATTTGGCCAGTGGCCAGCCATTGGCCGATGACTAGCCTTTCTCTGGTCATTGGCCAACGGCCACACTTTGGCCATTGGCTAAAAGACTGTCACCAGCCATTGGCCGATGCTTTGCCAAATTCCATGCTGCTCGGAATATGTCCTGGTCCTAGGCATGAGTGATTGGTGATACTAGCTTCGCAGCGGCCGGTCCAAGCGAAATGCGGAAAAGTGCCGACATCACGAGGATGTGCAAACTTGCGCGGTGTGTGTCTTGCTATCAAACTGCCTGTCCCGACTTTCAAGCTGCCAGGTCGTGGCGTCGTTCTGTTGAGTGTTTTGACAGGGGCAAAACCTCCGACTGTCGGGATTACCACCACACCTCTCTGGTCCGCGTTTCTCGAATGCCGTATTTTCCAGACTGTGGTCTGCCTTGGCGTGTAGTAGTCTGCAAAAGCAAACTCTGGCCGAAAAACAAATTTTTTCCCCTTCGATCGTTTGTGCCCGGTTGCAAAGCCTGCACATACAATGCGCCCTGCTTCGCATTCTTTCGCGGACCCATGCTGCAACATCTTGTGAAGCTCCTTTTGCTTTAATTTATGCCGGCATATGTCTTTCCGGGGTTTTCCAGATGTTTGCATTCTCACGCTCTTCTGTTCAATATTCGACTCCCTTGCGGCTGCGCAGTTTGACAATTACACTGGCTTCGACTTGTGATGACAAAACAATTCGGAACAACTCGTTATTGTATGCTCTGCATCCGTAGATCGTCTGCACAGCCTAGAATATAAACTTTTAAAACACGCGCAGACTATAGTCTGGCATGGCACATAACTAGCTACACGCTTCATTATTCAGTTTAAAAAGGGCCAGTGATGTTCCTTTTTGATCGAAACCCTTCAGTGAGTTGAACCTGAGCTCCCCTGGTGTTCGATAAGTCAGGCGTAATTGGACCAAATAGACCATTTTTGGAGATGGATGCACATTTGGGGGTGGTCTAAGGACAGGGTGCGGCCGTAAGTACTAACACATTTGGCACGCCTTGCAAAATTCGGATCCCAAACAAACATACTTGAAATTGGGTATGCAGGCAGAATTCCACGGGCAGTTTTATGTACATTCTTCTTCAAAGCCAAATTTTGAGGTAGCGAAATATTAAGAGTAAAGCACAATCCGAGACCGCGTATTTCCAACGTCATATACCAGCCTGTTTGTCGTCTGCACACTAATCTACGAGATGAATTCCGGGTAACATGTTGAACGCAAAAATGCTAAAAATCAATAGCAGAAGCTGGCAATGAGCGAGATAATTGCAATAATTAATACTTTTAATGAAATGTATGAACAATGTTCACCTGGGAGCAAGCTCTCAAACCAGTGTGCGGGCGACAAACATCCGGCTTAGGGCATAAGAAACTGCATGGCTGCCATTTTTGCTTTATTTTTAATATTTTACCGCTTGAACTCCGAAAAAAATATGCATAGGGCCTGTTGCGAAACTACATTCGCGTGCCCAGTTTCAGTTGTGGTTGTTTGGAATTCATATTTTGCAAGGCGTGCCAAATGTGCCGGTCTTTGCGGCTTCACCCTGTATGTTTGCACAAGCATTCTTTTGCACTGCCAACGAGTGGCGACGATCTGTCTCGTCGCGTCTTACCATGCAGCCCAACCAGGAAATTGCCCAGATGGTGGATCAAGAGGTGACGACGCAGAGCAGTCTGGCCCGCGCTGCTCAGACGGTGGTGAATAGGGTGGCGCTCCTGCAAGCTACCTCGGGTGGACAGAGGTGCCAGGGTGGCCTCACGCTCCTGGTGAGTGAGGAGTCGTCGTCCGTCTCGAGGAACTTTTAAAGCGAGAGCTTTAAGGAGCTCATGTCTCAGAAACGCCATCGTCAACATTGGCATTGGCGTCGGTGTCGGTGGCGTGGGATGTGAAAATCGTGATTGGTCGATAGGGTCACGACGTCACAGCCACATGACCTTGCGCGGGAATTTCAAACCACCCACAATGCTCACGTGACATCTCGCATGGTATGAAAGTGATTAAAACATGACATTCAGCGTTTTATGGTTTTATGATATTTTATGATTTCCTCTACACAGTTCTACTAATCATAAATAGGTATGCCACATGTGAATCATTATAATAATAAGTTCATTTCCACGTTTAATGGTGGAGCAAAGGGTAAGAGCCTTGTCTAGTTCTTAGCACCGCATCGGCTTAGCAGCAAAAAGTTATGTTGAAGTGTACGAGATAAGTTTATTCATCCCTCAAAAATGTTGTCTATCGTGGACTGTTAGACAGCACAGGACACCTCAGACCAATATTAAATTTGTTCATCCACCAAAAAGGTTGTCTATTGTAGATTTTTAGCCCCTTCGAGTGCGCTTCGTACCGCGCACCGATGCGCTGCAGGGAAGCAACACCTGCAAAAGCGAGCTCCACTGGTGTTGCTTCTTTGCAGTGTACCGGTGCTCGACGGGGCCGCGAAAACAAAAAAGTATGAGTTGCACGAAAGTGCCATTCGACCGAGGCGGCTTATATGTTGAAAACGTAGCGGGACGACCCGAAATTTGTTTGAATTAACGCAAGGTACGAAATCTCTGAGTCTGAACTACCGCAAACCTACTGCAATTGGGCGTCGAGGTGGCCCAGATGTGCTGAAGTACTGCTCAAACCCGCAAAGGGGCATGGACGGTTGAGACTGCTCTTCAAAGCCCCTGGGCTTTTAAGCGCTCGGGCTGAAGACCCACGCACTAGAGCAGGGGTCGGCAACCCTTTTGCTGCAGCGGGCCGAATCGCCGCAAAGCAGAGGTGGAGCGGGCCAAACTGAGATGGGGGGGAATATCAACCTGTAAAGATAAAAACAAAAAAAATTTGGGCAGAACAATTTATGTTGTTTAATTACGCGATTGGCTGCAGACATGATTGAAAGAGCCACATTAAGTCACGTGTCAATTTTCCCGCCAAATTTAGCGGCTAAACCGTATTTGTGTGTAGGTGGCACGAGATCAAGCCATGTTACGTCATTTTCCATGCTAAGTTTAGCGGCAAAACTGAATTTGGGGGGGGTGTTCAAATCATGCGACGTCAATTTTCCCCACTAAATCTAGCGGAGAACCTGATTTTGTGTATATGAACTCATGTGACCTCATTTTCCCCGCTAAATTTAGCGGGGAAACTGGATTGGTGTTGAGGTCACATGACAAATTTTTCCGCTAAATCTAGCAGGGAGACTGAATTTGCGTGTAGGTTACGTGACATCAAGTCACGCGACGTCGTTTTTCTCGCTACATTTAGCGGGAAAAATAAATCCAGAAACATACCTCAAAGTGGCCTGCAGATCCTAAGAAAGCTAATCGCTTTAAAAAGTTGTCACATACTACTCTAAGTGATATCTAAAGATGTTTTCTCGATTGAAGCACACGCTATGCAAGGTTTGTTCGGTCCCCCTCCGCGTCAGACGTTGGGTGTTCAACATTGCTTGTTGAGATACAAACATTCACTAAAAACTCTTAACTGAGAGTCGTAAAACATTTTGTAGGTGCTCATCTTCATCTTGCAGAAAGGATGTTCGCATATATATATACGCGCCGTAGCGGACGTTTGCGATCGAGGCTGTCGCGAGGCCAGCGGAAAACTAAACAAAGTCGTTCGCTGCAAATGCATTCTTCAGCTTATTGCCCGCTTGGGGATCGGTTCATCGGCAAACTCTATTTGGCGAATCTCTCTAACTTCTTCAGAATTAATACATCCGCGGGCTACCGGTTGCCAAACCCTGCATCAGACTCTAAAAATAAGCTCTCGATCTAACATTCTTGAGAGACAATAGTTTTTTTTATATTTTGAGGGCCATTCTTCGGCACACTTGTGATAGTGTGCCAAGGAACAGCCCCCAAACATCAAAAGTCTTCGTCTCTCGAGGATCTTCGATTCAAAGCTTTTTTTTTATATAAAGTGGGATATGTAATTGTGTATTGGGATGTAGAATCGTGGTTTACTCCCGTTTGGGCCACATTACCGGTCCGCAGTATTCTGTAAGTAAATAAACATGGTTTTTGCAGGTGCGACCACTACAGCAGCAACCAGAACGAAGGGAACCGGCACCGGCGGTCGACGATCCGTCGGGCATCAATGTGGACACCCCGGAATCCACGCTGAGCTCTTACGAGAGCGCCGGTCCAAGAAAGGCCCTGTTCCGACGGGGACAGAAGGCCCCGCCTCCGCTGGACGACGAGGGACGCCTGGAGCCCTACGTGGACTTCGGACCATTCTTCACCCTCGCACAGGAGGCGGTCAGGCAGGGGACGTGGCCGTCCTACCTGGAGCTCTGAGATGCGCCGATCGAGCCGGATACACTGTGGCTACGGGGAAGCGGCTACAACTCCTTTGCTTGGGTGCCGATCTGGATAGGCTAAGGCTGTGGCTAAGAGAAAGTGGCTACAACTCCTTTGCTTCGGTGTCCAGCTGGATAGGCTACAACTGTGGCTAAGAGAAAGTGGCTACAACTACTTTGTTTGGCTGCCAAGCCGGATACCCTGTGGCTGTGGCAACGGGCAAGCGGCTACAGCCCCTTTGCTTGGGCGATGAGTGGGACACGATGTGGTCGTGGCTACAAGTCCTTTGCTTGGGAGCGGCAGGACGCCAGCGGCTACAATCAACAACACTCCCAACGACCGTGAATGTTGGTTGACCAAGATTCAAGGATTGGCATTCGATGTAGTGACTACAAAGGTGCAGTGGCTATAAGCAATCCCAAGTGCAGAGGCCCCTGGAACCTGCCTAATCTTTTTGCTCTCAGAGTTGTGGTGATAGAGGAGAGGAGAGAGTCGAGTATGCTATGAGTACGGCTGTGGCTGCGGGGAAGCGACTACGGCTTTTTCTGCTTGGGTGCGGCCGGACAACGGCGTCTACTGCAGACAACGTTCCCGACAGCAGCAGATGCTGGTCGACCAGAGATCCAAGGACCAGCATTTTAAGCTGCCATGGCAAATGGCAATCTTAAGCGTAGTGGCCTTTGAGAACCGGCTAAGGGTCTGTTAATCGATGCAACGTCCATGGCTACAGTGACCAACATCTCGGGTAGCGGTGGCCATGCGTGCACCAAATGTCGAGGTTCAGTGTATCCAATCGAACAGCTGTGAGCACTAGTTATCGATCCTAACGGCTTCGAGTGCCGCACGTCATTGGTGGCTAGGGTGTACAATGTTTTTGGTGCTAGTGATCAAGAGAAGAGCATTCTAAAAATCAGCTTGCAGTTACAATGGCTACAAAGGAACCACTATAGGGGCAATGTGCACCGAAGAACAAGCTGAACTTGAACTTGGGCATGGCACAACGGCCGCAGTCAGCATCAACGGCTACGGGAGCTCGACACTACTGGCTACGTCGAGCAGCGCTCGCTCCCGATGCCAGGGACGGGTGAAGTGACTGGTTGTGCAGGGAGCTACGGGGACTTGTCTAAACCGTTCCTAGCCATCTGGCCCTTGGTGCTTTGTTATGGTGGGAGTTGCAAGCATGCCAGTAAAGGCCCGTTCACACTCTTGCGACCGAGTACGACTGAGAGAGACGAGATCTCTTACAACTTCTTAAATGTTTTTAGAATGAGGGAACATACTGACATTGTGGCGCCATCTATGCGGTGACCCTGGAACTGCATTTCACAAGAGCGAAGGTTTTGCAGGATTTTCGAGGTCAAATGTGCGTAATACCCATAGAAAGGCTCGTTTATAACATTGTCAAAAGTTTTTCGAGCCAAGAAAGAAAGGATAATTCTCGAGAAATAAAAAAAAAATATGCCGGACCGCCGAGTTTACACTGCTTCCCAATAGATGGCGCCAGTGTAATTTCTGGCTTAACAAGTTTTAAGGAACCCAGGTTCAAGAGGTCGCAAGAGTGTGAGCGGGCCTTGACTCTTAAAGTAAAAAAAAAAAAAAAAAAAAAGAAAGTTCCAAGTGTTGGAAGAATGTGGAGGTGATGCAAATGTTGAGAAACTTGCTGTTGCATGTCGAGAGTTCATGGAGCTATTGGTATGAAGTCTACAAGGCGGTCATATGATACAAACAGGCTGCATCCCTGTGAACCAACGTGGTAAACATTGGTAATGTCGTAGAAATATTCCCTATTTTAAGTTGTGGAAAGGCAGTTAAATGCAAGGCCTGGTGCAGCACGAAATGGGAGATCAAAGTGAGTGACTTGCGTGGTAAAGAATAAATGTTGGCAAAGCACTAACTTTTAGCACTTCTTTTATGAGACGGTAACACATTAAATGTCGGCCAGCATTACATTATTGGAACTACACCATGAAGGCATTTGCCTTAGAAACGAGACAAACATGAAACGGACGAGTCTCTACCAGTCGCAAACTGTTGTAGACGGGTGGGGAAGAAAAATTTAGTCCAGTGAGATGACGGCAGTCTTTTTCTTTTTTTAACTCCCCTTCTCCATTGGAGTAAAAAAAAAAGTATGGGAAAGCTGTGAATCCAGATTCAAAAAATATAACTGAAAAGATGGGCAATCGGTGAATTTTCACCAAGGAAGCACGTGATTAAAGGGGTCATGAAACGATATTGGATTGGAATGTTTGTGACTTTACAGAAGTACGCTGGTCCTAGTCTGGCCCAAATATATTCGCACAGACCGCCACTAATTCAGAAGCTTCTTTGTCATGGTGAAATTGCGAGGATAAAAGGGGACTATTTCTTTCAGGCTTGCCTTCGCAAAGCTTTTCAACGTAATTGTGGTATCAAAACCACCCGCCTGACGACAGTCAAGCGCGGCTCATGGATTGGCCGTGAGAACTGCATGACCACTCGACTTGGGCTCGTAACTATCACTGCCTCAGTGAGCACTCGGGTAGTGGCTCGTGTCCAACCACTGCGGTGATGAGAATAGCCAAACTAACAATGCCTGGAGCTCGGCACGCGTTTTCTACGTTGCCAAACCCAGCGCATGACTATGATTTATGTTGGCGGCAAAGGATAGGCACCAGGCTGCATGGGCGCTTGTTCTGGCTACAGTGGAGGGGATGAACGATGCTCATATTTCGCGAAATTTTTTGGCGACTGTCAATGACTAGAGAGATAAACTATGGCAAGTTTATGCGGTTATTAATGTTGGGGAGTGATCCTGAATAGTATTCAGCGTAAGTAGAAAAACCGTTTCATGGCCTCTGTAAGCAACAAGAAATAACGGATGTTTGTTCACATAGCCAGTCATGGCGCGCTTTATAGTGTTATTTAAACGCGACAAAGACTGCATGACGTCACGGAACAGTCACGTGACGTGCCTCTCCAGAGATCGTTGCACTGTCCACCCGCAAAACTTGTCAAAACGAAACCAAGACGTTCTCAGTCTCCGACGACCTGGAGGCAGACGTTGACGAACTCGACAAAGATGGGTTCCCGCATGGCTTGGTCGAGGAGGCTACGAGGGTCCGGGGATGCGTCGAGAGCCGACACGATGCGACGCAGATGTGGGTTTTTCAGGAGATTCTTCAAGTTCTCCGAATGACCGAGCAGCTCGAGCTTTTCGGGCGGAACGGTGTCCTCGGTGACGACATGGTGTCCGTTCTCCTCAGGAGGACACAGCTCGACGCGGGGCGCCGTTGCCGGGCTTTCTGATTTCTTGCAGTCCGCCTTGTGAGCGCGGTAGCACTGGGAGCTGCAGTAGCGCCACAGGCACGTTGGACAGCGGTACTTGGAGACGCTCGTCTTGCAGACGTCGCAGTTGGCGGTAGGCATGGCTTGTATCTGTAGACAACACAACAATTCAACTGTACTAACACAAAGTGCACAACCCTCCCGATAAAACCACGTGCAGCGGTTTGTTGACAAATGGCGAGACGTCCTTGGATTGGATTCCTAGCCCCCTGGATCAAACTGTTATGTGGATTCTGAATTTAAAAAAAACACGTAAATTCAGTAAATTACTGAATTTACGTTATAACTAAAAAATGCAAATTATTTAGGCGTAAAAATCCCTCAAATTCATTATATCGCGTTAATTATATTGCGAAAACAAGATTTGCTTGGTTTCGCTTTCGCCGAGAAAATGCTCCAAGGTCAGTCGGCATGCTCTTTGATTGCGGCACTTTTATGCGCAGATTAGATCAGGGCTTGCCAATAAAGGAGGAAGACCCTAGCTATTCAGATAACCGCAGCAAGAACGACGTAAGATCGCCGCTGCTTCTCGTTGCAACCCTTGGTCGCAACCAAAACATACAAATAAGAGAACTCAAACACCGCATAGAAGCAACAAATGCGCAAGCGCAGCGCTGCTGCTTTCTCGACTCCCGTCCTCGCAGCCGCTTGCCTCGTCAAACAAACGCGCCTTCGTTCACGGCAGGACGTCGACGTCGCATCAAGTGCGCTGCGCGTGCGCGCTCGATGTTCCACGCTTCGCCCGCTGCGCCGGAGAGCCGGACAAACCCGACCGATCTGACCGATCCACGGGGCTTCGAGCGCTCCGTTGGCTCCGTGCGTGCCTCCGTCACCGAGCGCTGTTGCAGGGAGGTGTTCCCCGCGCTCTCTCTTCGGTGTGTGGGGTTTGTGCTCACGTGTCTGATGTCCACCTGAGCCGTCGTCGGAACCACCGAGCGCCGTGAGCGGTGACTGCAGCCTGTAGCAGTTTAAAAAAGAAAACAAAAAAACGCCACCACGGCCGCGACACCCGCCGACATGGCCGACGAAAATGACGACGGCCTGGAACAGCCGATGCTGGGTTTCAGGCTTAGGGCGCGCAAGGGTGCCCTAAAGAAGAAAAACGTCTTTGAGGTCAAAGACCACAAGTTCATCCCCAGGTTCTTCAAGCAGCCCACCTTCTGCAGCCATTGCAAGGATTTTATATGGTGAGCGGTTTCCCAACCCGAGCCGTCGCTCGCGTACCTTTCATCGCGCTCGCGTACGCCATGATCATTCACCACAGAAAGTAATCTCCGTACGAGTTGTTTTTATTTGTTTTCTTCCCCAAAAACCTCGGCTGCCTCGGCTACCGCTTGGATAGTGCAGCTTCTCGAGTCTGGACTATGGTTTTCGAGCATCGCGGTTGTTTGGCCGCAAAAATAATTGACGGGAGAGAAAAAAAAAAAAAAAAATAACAAACGTACTGTTCTTTTGGTTCAAATGCATAATGTTATATTCATATTTTCGTTCGGATGTAGAGTGTCGCTTTCTTTCGAGCGTGCACAATATGTTTCCTGGTAATCCCGGGCTGTTGCCCGGAAGTGTGAACAAAGGGAGACAAAATAACAACGTTGGACGAGCAAGCAAAAGCGCGCACTTGCATGCATTCCTATGCGAGACACAGGTAGCGCTCGCTCGCTCGCAGGAAAAACTCGAAATAACATAAATAAATTTCTGGCCGGGCGGTGTTCCATGCGCTCCGCAAACGATGCGGAAAAAACCTTGGAGGCTTACATCCGTTTCGTACATGCCTGTTTACCCGGCGGGCTAATTCTTTCGTCCCCCCCCCCCACCCCCCTCCTTTTTTTTTTCTTTTTTTTTTCTTCCCACTTTTGCAGTACCCCTTGCTAAAAGCGACCCTTTAGCAAATCCCAGCTTAGAGACCTTTCTCTTTAGAAGATAAATAAACTAGCACTGGGAATTCGTTCAAAATTGAAGACTTTCGGTCCTACGTTGAGTTTTGCTTTTTCGCCCCAGTGCGCGCGCAGTCTTTTAAATTTTTAAATGTATCGCTCGCACGGGAATCTCGCCTTTTCGATGTTTAATTGAGCAACTAGTTGTTGTCTTGACCTGTGAACTTCAGTCCTGCTGATACTCCAACGATTGAAGCAATAAAACCTGCTGCAGAGGCTTAAAAAAAAAAAAAAAAAAAAAAGTATGTTTTGGAGGCTCGATCTTCAGCATCGTTTCTCAAAATATGGGCCCGTATTAATTTTTTTGTTGTTGTTGTTGAAATGAGGGTGCGCGTATTTGAGGGTGTTCCCCGGCCTATCCGATATCTACGGAAATGACATGTTCCCTGCGAGTATAGTCTTCCCACTTTGCGGCGCACGGAAAAAGAAAAGAAAAGAAAGGAAGTTCGTTTCCTTGGGTGCGTTGAACTTTTTTGTATCTTTATCTACAGGAAAATAGAGAGAGGTGAGGCCAGTGGCAGCTAAGTTCCTGTATCTCTAGTGGCACCTATGACTCTGCGCAACGCAGCGGATCTTGCACTCGCGCAAGCACTCGCGCCACAAAAGCGAAAGCGAGAAAAAAGAAAGGGCAACTGAAGTAAAGTATAAAATAGAAAGAAGGAAAAAAGAACGCTGTTGGGATGTTCGACCCGTGTTTATACTATTAAATGTATGTTTCTTGGTTGGATAGAATATCCCTAAGTCTGGTTATTCATTGCCGTTTATGCTTGCTCAATCAAAAACGCAACATAAAAGAAAACAAAAAAGGTATGACGGCAGTACATGGTTGCCTCAATTTTTTCAAAGAAAAAAAAAGTTTTCTTTTCTCCTTTAAAAAAAGAAATTACACCTCGATCTGTTGTACAACTGAGTCGGTTGCGGGTGAACTTTTGATATAACCTTGGCAGAAATGGTAGACACGACGGGAGATAAACAAACATTACTGTCTGTGAAGGACGGTTGTCTTTGGTTGATTGCCCCTCTCGGCAATCACAAGTTTCCCAGGTCACAGAATCTAAAACTAGCATTCTTTAAACTTTTTTTGATTGCACATTGAAAGTTAGCTCACTCCATATTTTCACCCGATTTGCTTTCACTTTTAGGTCACCCATCCTCCCACCCTGGGGTCACTCCTTTTGAGTTGCCTCGAGCGACATGTTTTTATTCGGAACTGGAACTTTCTTATTTAGTTTACTACTTTATTACTAAATTCCATAGATCTCGGCATTCCCCATAAAGCGCGAGGTTGAACGACAGATTCGCCTTTCTCAAACAACGAAGGAGCAAAGTGTGACAGAAGTCCCTTTAACAAAGCTTTCCACATGCTGTCAACAGGTGTTATTACGAGACAAAACATTGCCTTACTCACAAAAATGAGATCGACAGCCCATTTGGGAGAGGCAGGGAGCAATTCGAAATTGAAAGCTGCGTGGGAGTGTGCCTGAGTATATTTGAGCGTGGCACTCAAAAGGTTAATGTAGAAACTACTGCTACCACTACTACTATTACCACTACTAACAATATCTACTTACAGCATCAACAGCTATTAACAACAACAACTACTACTAACATCACCAACAACAAAGAACAACAATAGTAATAATCATAATCTTCTCTATTGGCTCAGGAGAGCCAATAGTAGGTAAATCAAGGGTGAAAAATGTGCGAAATATAAAACATTATATGCTGAATCCACAGGGGACAGGCAAGAAATATACAAATATGTTTTGGTGCGGAAAAATGCCGTCGCATCCACATCATTGAAGTCGGATAATTCTCAAAGAAAAGTTATTGCTAAGTATTACTTTCTGAAAGGATAATTTGTAATGAATTATTTTCTGCATGCTAGTAGTTCTAATTGTAATTAACAACCTTGGAAGCAGCATAGCTGTAATTGTGATTAAATTACATTTCCAAATGAAGTTGCCCTAGTAGGGTTGCACTGAGCAAACGTTTGCAATATCTGGTCGACTTGTTGTGTGCACAAAATTTATATATGTTTGGTGAACTGAGCAGCATTCCATAATGCAAAGCTGCAGAGGATGCGCATCATACTTATATGGATCCTGAGCTTCCTTGAGTCTAGAAAAGTTTTACCGGCGTTTCGGTGTCCTCAATGGACTCCTCTGATCTTGCGATCCCATAGTAAGCATGCTTCAATAGGCTTTTAAAAGGAATCGGCCTTGGAGCCATGTTAGGGCTGAATTCTGCTTGAAATGAATTACTTGCCGCCATAACACCGTTTGCAATGGCAGAACCTAATCAAGTCTTCCTTGATATGAAGTGAAAGACGCTCAAGTCACAAAAGCTGTGTTTCTAGGGATCGCTTTTGTTTAATTTCAATAGAGTAAAGATGATGATTGGAAAAGATGAAAGTGAATATGTTAATAGTATTTAAACTCCATTGCAAGACATCTAATTAAGGCCCCAGGAAATTTCTGCATTATTTTCCTTTTTGTCTAATGCTCTCTTGTTTCATTATACCTGTTCAGATTTTTGGTTATGTAAGTCATCTCTGCGAGCAATTAAATATATATATTTTTTATTATGCCAGTGGAGGTACCCGTCTCAGCTGTCCCTCGGTGGCCAGTAGTATCCACAAGCAACAATAAAAAAAATGTTTTTGGCTTTAATATGCAACTCCAAATTTACGAAGTCTCAAAGTTGGTATGGAAAGAACCTTATTTGATTTTTGAATTGACATGTAGTACCTGAGTTTCACCCCCTCAATACGAAAACCTGGTGACTAAAAGGCATTTTTATGCAACCTTTAATTGTAAATAAAAAATGAAAAATGTGTTCGTAGTTGCTGCCTGTAAGAAACACTTCGAGCGAGCTGAAATGTCAAGCCCATTTATTATCTGGTCGTGACAAATCGTCGGCGGCGGATTCTTCGCAGCCCTCTTGAAAGATAATGCGTCATTATGTGAGTCAGTTAGACCGACCCATGCCATCTGGGTCGAGATAAAGGGCCGGGAAGGAATAGCGTTTGCGAAGTAGCCCCCTTTGCAAGATTTGAGTCTCAGATTTGGCTCCCTTTTCCCGTTTACAAAGCTTTGTCGGCGTCTTGCTTTTTAATTTTGTAGTTGAGTTCCAACGATAGCTCGCTCGACCAATTACTACAATGAGCCTTGGAGACATCCTTTCATGTGTAAAAGGTTAGAAAGTTCCATTCCAATCTCTTCTAAAATTGTGCTCTGTTTCGGTAAATTTTTTTTATTCATCGGCAGTTTTCGTTTTTGCATCGACACAAAATTCTGCTTGCTTCAGAATCTATACGAAATTCCGGTCTACCAGTGTCGCTTTTGGTACACTGTAAGTGGAACGAATGCAATAAAAGAAAAGTTTCAAGGCAAGTATTTTAAGCAAGGGCCGGTTCACACTCTTGTGACTGCTTACGACTGTGTGCCTTAAAAACTCTTAAACCCTAACGAAAAGAGAATGCACTGGCGCCACCTATTGGGTAGTCGTGGAGCACGTGCAGTTTCCATATATTTCCTTTGTTTTTTTTTGCACATCAGTCTTTCTTTCTTGGCTCGAAAAATTTCTGACAATGCTATGAACAACCATTTTCCATAGCTGGTACGTACCTTTGATCTCACGAAAATACCGCAAAACCTTCACTCTAGTGAAACGCAGTTCCAGGGTCTCCTCATAGACGACGCCAGGGTGCCAGCGTGTTCTCTCGTCGTAAAAGGTTGCAAGAACTCCGTCCTAAGCAAATGCAACTCTGTAGGGGCCTTTTAAGCTTGGATTGCTCCGGCGCATCTTTCAGTAGTCAATCATTGCAACATATCGCGCCATTTCGACTTGTGCCAATTCTAAACAAAAGATAACACTGTGAGCCAAAATGTTTAAACTGCAATATGCCATTGCCGTGAAGTGCCGCTGGGAATTCGGACACAGGGTCGAATTTTGTGTTGGCATTTCAAGAAAGATTTTTACGTCACAGTGACGACTCCGGAGCATTTGCTTGTCCGATGTGGTTTTGCCCCTCTGTGCAAAACTTCAAACTTTGAAAGAGTCGAATATTTCCTCAACGTCTGAGCAATGTTGAACCCAGAGGCAAAGGTTACAGGCACATGCTGAACAATGTTGAGCCGAGAGGCAAAGGTTATCGGCACATGCTATGCCAGCATTGTAGTTGGGGTACTGCGGAGATTTTTCACCTTACACAAATTTCTTTTTTTTTTTTATTATTTAACTTGTGTTTTTGGGTTTTGTATATTACTGCATTTAATGCAGAGTCATGAATCAAGTGGCTGCATGATGCCAGCAGTAAAGATGAAGGGGGAAACTGCATTGTGCTGCACTCAAGCAGGGAGATTGTGAATATAGAAAACAAATTCGACTTGGGTAGTGCTGGTTTCTATCGCCAACTTTGATACTGCGTGGTGTCTTCTCCTAGCTATCCTAGCCTAGCTAGTGAGTTTGTACAAAATACAGAGCAAACAAAAGGTGCTCTTGTGCTTCTACATCATCGTTTGGCTCTTTTTCGTTATTCTCCAAGTTTTGCTTCATTTAAAAGATGGGGCACTTCTACATTTGAGAAAAAACGCTTGAATTGCGTTCATTTCGCCTTTGGAATAACAGATATCAAAATTATATTTCAACGCGACGCGCCGGAGAGCCATACAAGCAATTTCAAAATAGGACTGAAGCCCCGCCTCCCTAGCCTTGGGCAGCCAAAAGAGCCGTCGATGACGTCACGTACAGCGACTGTCTTTCGCGTTTTTCTCGCGTTTACCAATACTTACGCAGCAAATGGTTTGGGTATTCGGGTTCATGGGGTAAAAATACACTAGAATTCACTTCTAACTCATTTTTTCCAAGAAGCTCCGTAGCTTCCCTTTAAATAAAAACAAAGAAATTATTTATTTTTTCTTGCTGGAAGAAGATTTGGATTACTTATTAAAAGAATCAAAAGCTATATATGTCCATGAACTGTGCAACTTTAAACTTTCTCTTAAGGGGGGACACTACCAAAAAAAAAATTTCTGCAAAAAAAGTTGACTTTGAAAAATGATTTATTTACATCCACCAACATCTAGAGAGTATTTCCTGAAAGTTTAATTAGTTTACACTGCATAGTTATTTTTTTATTAATTATTTTCTGTCCATCGAAGCTAAAGGAGAGGTAGGATTTGGAGCACTTTGAACACATTTTTCTCCGTTCCACTTTTTGGTATAAATTCCATTTTAGTCAATCTATCGTTTGATAATGGCAATACAGGGAAGGCTTGTTCTTCACTTTTCCCCACTCAAATTTAATAAAGAATGCGGCTATGGAATTTTTTGTCAGTCTACAAATGTTTTTTATAACAAATGTTGAAATTTTGTCGAAGACACAGAAGACCAAAAAGTTGACCACTTTTGTAGAAGAGAAAATTTATAGAAATAAATTACTTTTTACAAAAACCTTTTTGTAGTCGTACCCCCAGGCATTCTGCTACATATCTAGCGAATAAAAATCTTGAATATTGTGATCGTTTTTTGACGATAGATTAACTAGACAATGTAGGTGTGTTGCTGATAGAAGCTGCTCTAATTTCCTTCCCATTTAACCGACAGACCTGAAATTTTGTTATGCACCCTCTAGCATGACCACCAGCCTACCCTGTAAAGTTTATTAATTTCAAGCCTAGGGTTCAAAAATTGACCCTCTCAGGGGGTGTGTCCTCTTAAAAGAGGTATTGGATGATGGTGCTTTAGCTTCTCTTAAAATAATTTTCTATTCGTGCTGAAGATATCAAATGCAAAACTCAAAACTTTTGCAAGAAAAAAAAAAACAAGTGAGGCGCCAGAAATTTTTTGTGTTCAGTTTTGAGCATGTCAGTCATTTGAAAACTCCTCGCTATATGGATCTCTGGCTTTTTTCATTTTTTTTTTCATATGGTGACCAGCTACAAGAATGGGTTCCCATTAAAAAAAAATATATATATATAGAAATGGGTTTAGGGGTAAATTGGCTTCTACGCCTTGGTTACTTGCAAATTTGTGTGTCAGTACTTATTAAGTCCATGCAGTGAAGTGTTTGTGTATTCGTTACCTGTGGTGTAACGCAATGCGAACCTATATTTTGCCGTTTCTGATTCTTCTGATCTTTCTTTTCAGGGGCTTTGGAAAACAGGGTTACCAGTGCCAAAGTAAGTGTCCCATTAGCTGAGTCTGCACTCCTATTTTTTCAGTAGCAAGGGCCAATAACATGAACGACTGTATAACTATATATAACAATTTTTTTTATGGTGCGTCTGCCAGCGAGAAGGAACAAGTGGGAAATTTTGGAAATATCCCTGATTTATACTGCTTAGAGATGTGCACATTGTGCGACATTATTCGCTATATGCAGCTTGCTAGCTTGGCTTGTTTATAAAACAACAAAAATGTCACATAGGTGAAGTTTCTTGACATGTATCTTATAAAGTGTTTAGTGGTGAATAGTTTTTTCTTTTCTAGGTTGAGTTTTTTATATGGTGATTTCATTAAGTAGAAAGAAGCCTTTTGGATTAAGAATGTCTATTCATACCGCTTTTGTCGAAGTGCATGCTGTCACGTCTCTCTAGTACGGACCCCGTAAAATGGATACCCTGCTATGTAGGAATAGTTTTCAGGGATGAATTCGGTAAATACATGCATCTTCGTCCCGTTGAAGTGGATATCCTGTTAAAATGGACGTCCCGTTAAAATGGACGTCCCGTTAAAATGGACGTCCCGTTAAAATGGACAACTCGCGTTACGGACCGTGTTTTCGGGAATGGAGGTATTCATTCCTCTATTAGCAAGTTCAGGATCTCACTTCAGCGATGTTCTCTTTGCAGTATGCAGCTTTGTAGTACACAAGCGTTGCCACGAGTTTGTCACCTTCAAGTGTCCTGGCAGGGACAAGGGTGTCGATTCAGACGTAAGCTTGTCCCACTTCAGTTTGTTTGCATTGTCATTTGACCCCTGTTTTTATGCCTGCTCTGATAATAGAAGAATGTCCTCAGGGCTCAGTTTTTTCTTGCATTAACCACAGCAACTATCGAGTGACAATATGAAGCACCGATAGGATCTTTGTGTGGGACGAAATATAGACGGTGATGGGTTTACATTTTAAGCAGTGTACTTGTCAAGGGGAAGGGAGGAGTGATGCGTGTTGTGTGATAGGGTTTCGTGAAACTCATCCCAGTGGAATTAAAACCTGAACCTCTAGTGTGAATGTCGACTTGTTTCATGGGGCTAAGGTCACTTGATCTTGGGTATGTCGTGCCGTTGCCTTCCCTGCCTGCTAAAAGACGCGTATAGATTCAAACGCAGAAAGAGCGAAAACCTTGGAAGGCGATTTGTTGACTTTCCATAGTTAGTAGAGCAATTGGCATTTTGGACCCATCAAAAGTTTGAAGCTAAAGCCCTTCCATCAAAATCTGCAGCACCTAGGTTGTGGAAACTTGTCATACACCCAAAGCAGTTGTTCGTGTTTGGGGTTAAGATGAATCAACTTCCGAACTTGTTTTATCTCTCTGAGCCTCTTAAGCTTATCTTTGTAAATCTCCTAGAAGGATATCAACCTGTTGTGCCATTTTGCTTGGCAAGGAAATCTCCTTTTATTTCTGACACCCTAGATAAGCAGGGCAGTGACAAGCTGCATGTTTGTCAAGCTCTTTTCTTAAAGGTCACTTTCCTGCACAAAAACATTCTGAAAAAAAAAAACAAAAAAAAAAAAGAAATTTTATCTGTTATGTTGTGTTGGTAGTGATTCTCAAAAGATGGCTGGTTTTTGGCTATAGGACCGATTGCGGATCTAACGCAACATCAATGCGTAAGAAATGTCCATCTATCCGTTTTTAACTGACTAACAGACTGGTGAAGGCAGAGATAAACTGCTGTCCTTAGGTGTCAAATGGCAGAAATATCACTAGAGAGAGATAGAAAAATAAATAAATGATGAATTTGGAGAGATTGGCAGCCTCAAAAATAATGCTGGCTACTCAATGTCATTACTTTCTAGGATCGAGGGATGTTACATTGGGCCACTTTATTGTTCTAATTTGAGTCTTATTAAGTCTTTTCATCTTGTCTCACTCGTTTATTTTCTGAATGGTCACAGTTAACAGCCATGCTATGTTCCACTTTAAGTGCGAGAGTGGCAGAAGAGAGAGCTCCAGGCTTTCTGCACCCCCATCAAGCACGTGCGCTTGTGGAGTGCAGGCATCGTTCAGGGCAACATACTCATGCTTGTAGCTTTGTCTTGGCTCGCACATAAAGTGAAACAAACTGTAGTTTAAAGAGCTCGTCCCCAGACCTTCCCACACATCTGAGGACAGCTACGTCTTCCCTCTTGCACGCTCGCAGAAAGCGAAAAATGAAGGCTTAGCAGTATAGTGAAAGAGGAATGCTGCAATCGCATAACCTTACAGGGAAAGAAAGGCCATTAAGTTTCTCTCCAGCAGCCACTGTTTCCCGGTCCGCCCGGGTCTTAAAAATAGAGGCACAAAAAGCCTCTTTCTCGTCGGGTTTTGAAGCACCCTTGCGAATGGTGTTCGGGCGGACACCTAGGCTCGGTGGCTCCCTTCAACTCCAAAAAGAAATGTGGGGCACCCACTGTCCCCGGTCTATTTGGGTCCCTGTCCAAAACTTGTCTCGTTCGCTCGAAAACAGGGAGTGAGCCATTGCCAGATGAAAGAGGCAGAGGGCTGTTTTAATGTGACGAGCATGACTGCCACTGGGAGACGACCTTGGGAGGGCTGGATTATCTGCGACCAGGATTTTCATATAGTGGACCCTTTTAGCGTTCGCAAACGCGAGCTGTCTCGTGTCTTCCCAAGCTGCCTTTTTCAGAGGCCCCTCCATTTCGGCAGACTTTCCGAGCTCGTTTGTGTCGCCATTGCGGGGACGCATTGGGACTGGTTCACACATTTGTGTCGGCGCGCGTTGCGTTTCCTTGCAACCGTTTGCGACAATTGAACATGGCTACATCTTACATGTTGCCTAGGAACACTCGCAATTTGTATACAATTGTACTTGTTGTCACATCAAGGAAAGAGAGAACTTTTGTGCATGATTCGCGTGTACAAAACTGCGTGCATGCGGATCACGTGCACGTAGCTTTGTGCTGTGTGAAGTATTCCTTACGAGATTTAGTTGTCGAAGGAAGAAACAATGCTTTTGGCGTTTGAAACATCTGCGTCTTGAGGAAATACTTTAAACATAACAAGCACGTGCGAATAGGGGATTTTGAGCTCGAAGCAAATAGCGGTTTTGGCCGAATATTTTCGAATTGAATATTGAATAATTTCTCAGATTCTTTCACTACCAAGCACTGTGCTGGAACAGAAATTCAACTGAGTTTGTAAAAGTTGTTTTCCACCTTCCACTTGTCCACTTCTTAGCTCAGTTGATTTTAATGTAACTTCATGAACTGCGGCACTTAAAATCTGCTTGCTAATGCAAGAATTCTTCTATTTGAAATTTGGCAAGAAAACAATAAAAGCAGAGCCTGCGAGCTCTGCGGGTATTGCTTCCCCGCAGCGCTCAGGTGCCCGGTGAGGAGCACACTCGGCAGAGCTAACCAGCCGCGATCAACACTTCAAAAAGTATATGGATACCGCAGTTCACCTCGAAGTGAATATTGAAAAGGGTATTAATCGAAACTACTCTTCGAAATTTTTATTATTTGCACAACTCTAGTCTATGATGCACCAATATAAATGAGGTCAAGTGCTTGCAGTATTTGAGACGAGGTCGCTTATATCGTCGTCATAATTATTTCAAGCCTGCCGTGAAAGTATGGTACATCAAAAATGATCAGAATATGTTTCCTGGTAATTTTAAATTGGCTGATCACTTTTGATGCTCTGTATTTTCACTGTGAGCTCGAAATAGTTTTGACAACGTTATAAGCGACCATTTCTTGTAGGTAATGCATAGGTTTGATCTTCCAAATAGTGCCAAAGCTCAAGTTTAGTTGTACACAAATCGGGAGTGGTCACACTTGAACACAAATGTGTGAAACAGCCTCAGGTGCACTACCGAAACAATAAAGTTGAAGGTTTCGCGAGGTCCTTCTGTCGAGCTCTTCAACATATACGAGACGACCTGGCTCTCTCACAAGGGCATTAAAAAAATCTCCAACAAATCTATCACTAACCTGTCTTTTAGCTAGGCATTCGGCAAAATTGCTAATTAAACATGTGAACATTGCAAAGAGTGGTGTTATGAAAGGGGTTGATTGTTCTTGTTTGAAGCAGAAGCTTGCAAAAGGCAACAGCGCTGCCACCAGGTGAACAGGGTCTATACTAAGAAGCTTCTACAGGCTTTCGGAGGTTCTTTCTCGCTCCTTACAGTATGCGAAAATTACTCAACTCAATTCTAGGCACTCTTCTGACACTCGAGAATGGGGAGTTGTGAGGTTAATTAGGCAGTTTTAACATGATATTTTTGTTTTCTAAAGCCTTTCAAGCTCTCGAGGTCGAAATAACTCTCAAAGACACTTTCAATTTTAACTAAAAAGGGAGCTTAGAGAGAAGAAATTGATGGCATTGGGAACACAAATAATTTGCAGAAAGTTAGAGAGGAAATTGCAATCAACAATGACCTTTTGGAGAGATTCACAATGAGCAGGACAAACCAGTGACTCGCATGTTGTGGAGTTAAGTGACATCAGAGAAGAATGAGAAATCTATTAACTTCTAAGGATTTGTGAGAATACATTTAAAATGAATGTTCAGAGATTGGTTTGAAGTTTCCATTGAAGTACCATTCAGGAGAATAACACCATTCTTTCTTGTCTCTGTCACGCAAGAAAAAGGTCTTGAAAGTGCATTTATTTTTTAAATTACGGAAATGCGTGGGATTCTGGTTTCTTAGAAAGGTGTCAAAGAATGTTCCTAAAAATGCATAAATCTTAAAATAAAAAAAAAAAATTGAAAAAATTTATTTTAGAAAAATTTGTTTTCCTAGTGTCTAGATAAATCAATTGCCTCTTGTAAAAAAAAAAATGAGTCTGTAATAAGTACATAAAAAAAAACAAAAAAACATTGAGGAATCTATTTTTTTGGCAAACTTCAAGTGCTTTTTTTCTTTGTCGCATACTTTTTCAATAATGCCCATGCCCTATTGGTCTTTTCTGAACTCTGCAATTGGCATTATTAACGACTTCGGTACACTTTTCAAGATTAAGTGTTCTGTGTATTTTTTTTTTGTAAATTTATTTATCAGTATTGCAGTCACAGAGGAATTTATTACTTCCTTGAATACTAAGGCCCACTTTTTATGTTACAAATACACAACCTTTTTTTTAGACATATGTAATAGTATTCTCAGAGCTAATTAAAAAAGCATCACTATATAAATTTGATTTTGGAAACATAGTCCCGTCAAAAAAAAAACTATATTTCGCCAAGACATTCCCCTTAATGACCTGCAGAGAGTGATGCAGTGCTATTGGATCAATCTCCCATAACTCGGATTCCAGTAAGCATGTTCAATGTCGGATTGCACGTCTGGAACAGGCAGAAAATGTGCGTCAGTTTACGATGTGGCAAACATGTTTTAACAAAAGAACAAAAAGAAAAGCTCCGAAGACTCTTGTGTACCCCAGTTGCTTTTTTTTTCTCTTAGATGAACGTAAACCATGGTTTGGGGCATTTGTATTATTAACTTTTTGAGTGTTGCTCACATTAATGTTTCTTCCCTGCTGCTGTGGGGAAGGCATAGGCTTGTCAAGCACCCTTTTTTCTCTGCCTCTCCTCTTCAAGCGGAGAAAAAAGGAATTGAATTTGCATTGCGTGTGACCTTGCTTTGCGTGCAGGACGCGCGGACCAAGCACCAGTTCATCATTCAGACGTACACAAGCCCCACATTCTGCGACCATTGCGGGTCCTTGCTCTACGGACTCATTCACCAAGGATTCAAGTGCAAAGGTGGGCCGTCCTCACCATTGCGGCCTTCGTCAGCTTTGTCACAGTCTTCACATTTACACTTTTTAACAGTGTGTCCCCTCCCCAAAAATATTCATACATTTTTTTATCACCGCAAAAATAAAAGACTCATCGCCGAAGGCTCCTTTTCTGACCAGGTGTGGCGCTGGCGGTCAGAACTCGATGCCAAATTTTCAAAACTGACCGTCACCTTGTACAAAAGTTATACCGTAGAATACCGCGCATCCACCCAGTTCACATTAAGCACCCATTACCAAATTTGTGAGATCTGAGAAAAAATGCACAGTACATTTATATGTAAAATTGATGACCGGACAAGCGCCCATCCCCCATTTTTTTGCGATTATCTCCAAAGTTTCAGTGGCCGCTTGTCCGGTATTTTACGGTAGGCGATTTTCTTAAGATTTCAGTGGCAAATTGGGGCCTGTTCTTGTTAACTGGTGCCACTCAATTCTGTGTATTCGAAGGCTTCGTTGGCTGCCATTTTCCCATTGAAAATTTTAGATCACTTATAACTAAGTTTCAGTGTTTTCGGATAAATCCGAAGAACTGCAAAAAACACCCGCCGGTAAAATTTTGGTTTATTCAAATTTATCTATAAACTCCAAATTAAAAAAGAAAAAAGACTGTTTTTTATAATTATGTTTGATCAGCACACAGAGTCATTAATTCTGGGAAAATGCCACCGCAGTTGCCTTTCGAATCTCGGACCCTCGTTGAATGGGTTCTTACCGCTTATCTCGTCAAGGTTCAATCAGGACAACAGGTCATTGCACTTTGGGTTCACGACAAAAGCCGCTGTTTTGGTTTCCAGTTTGAGTCATACTATTTGTGCTTTAGATGAAGGAGAGGTTGTGTTTTTGTTACAGTGAAAGCTATGGACCATAGAGATTGCACAAAGCGGGGAAGAGGGACAGTTGAATCTTTTCTGTTATATCCTTAACCACTCCACCTCGTGCGGTCGTGGGGTAGGTTGATGGAAGAGGATGGGATGAATACGAGCTTACCAGCGACCACCTCCAGGAGTTTATTGATTCTAAGGTATCGACTTTTTTTGAAGCAACACTTGTGTGCAACGTTTGTCGTGGGAAAAATTATTTATTGCCAGTGGCATTAGATCCAATGCCAAATCCAGCTGAAGAAATATTAATTGATTCAAGCACTTTTTTTTTATCCAGCATACATTTACACTTGTATATTATTTATTTATTTATTTTTAATGGGAAACACTGCAAAATTAAACTCAAAATTTCGGAGAATTGGGAATCGAACAAAGATGAACACCGATAAACTCAGAATTTCTGGCAAAAAATAAACTCCAAAGAGCACCCTCCGAATTTGCCAGAAAAAAAAAAAAAAAAACTGAAAGCACGGAATTCTATATATAAATTTTGGATGAGATAGCTCTGAAACTTTGGCATCTTGTTTAGACCGCTGGCACTACATTTAGACGGACAATGAGCGTTCGGCAATGCATAGCTTTCTTTTGTGGTGAAACAAACCCTGTAAATATTTCTTTGACACCCTGTAGTTAGCTACAATAGATGTTGCACCAGAAGAAGTTGGTAACCTTGGACAAGCGCTTCATTTTTCTTTTCTTCATTGTGCTGAATCTGAATGTCAATCTAAATGGATTGCAGGAGTGCAGAGGATTGTCCTTATAATTATGTTTGGTTTAAGGAATGTTTGCACATGATTAAGCAAAGTTCTGGTTTGTTGTAATATGATAGTATAGTAAAAGTACGGACATCGTGACATTGTTTTATCAAATTGACTTTACTGTGTAGAGGTTCTGCTTTAACTTCTCCGAGCTGCTGGAGTGACCGTGATAATGGCATTTCTGAAGCTCATTCCCAAAAAGTCAGACTTTTGCCAACAGTAAGTTATGAGACATAATAGACATGAAAAGACGAAGCAAACATGTAGAAACCCAAGGTAAAGAAATAGAGGGCAAAAAAAGAAAGAAAAAAAGACATGCAGCTTTTTTAATTTTTTTTTATGTTTTGCTGTTTTTTATGCATATTAAATTGTCAGCTGCATACTACGCCTTTCTCTTGCGTTTTTTCTGCCCCGGGGAGATGTGTCCATGGGCAGAAAACCCACGAAATAAACGCTTTCAGTCAATGAATCAATCTTGTTCTTTTTCTTTCTAACAAAGCATGCGACATGAACGTGCACAAGCGTTGCCAGGAGAGCGTGCCCAACCTGTGCGGCTGCGATCACACGGAACGACGGGGACGCATTCACCTCAAGGTCTCTGCCACCAGCAACAAGCTCATCTGCGAGGGTGAGCTCACTTTCTCCCTTGCACTTATGAGATGGGGTGTCTCTCTCAAAAATGGAGAGATAGCCACAGGACGAGAAAAACTACAATTGATCAGTTTACAGCACGTTTTAGCGGTCGTTTAAAGTTAGTCGTTAAAAAATGGATAGCTAGCTACGGGACAGGAAAAACTTCACTGCACCATCTTGAGGGAGTTCGAAGCCTACAGTGTTGGCTTTTGTGTTTCTATTTCCCTTTGTGAGTGGCAGCAATTTTTAAGCCAAGCATGAAACCGATGGCATGCCATTGTTTGTGACAGTCATGGCCGCTTCCACAGGCCTGGCACGCGCTCGTGGGAGTGGCAGTGCTCTCGAATTCTCCGTCGATTTTTCAAACTCGAATAGCAGCAGTGAGTCCACTGATGAAGCTAGATCATCGTATTTCGGTTCCAGTGACCTGTGCTTCACCACACCGAGAAACTGCTTAGCCCAATGGCATCTGCAGTTGTGAGGGTTTACTTGACTTTTGGCAGATCAAAATCTTTCTAAGTTAGAAGTCTAGCTTTTTTTGGAGCTTTTTGTTGTAAAAATGAAAGACATTATTTCAAATATTTTTTGGGGCACTTTTTTTTGTGCAAAATATAGCCCTATCTTTACCCGGCTGGGACAAATTTTTAGAAAACAATTTTGTTTGACAAAGTACATATTGTATAAGAATTAAAGTCCTTTCTCTGGCAATTGCATGATACAAAAGCCCATTTATTTAACTTTGCTTCTCTGTACGGCATCACATTGTAAGCCTAATAGTTTCCGCGCTGGAAAAATAAAACAAAAAACAAAAAGCCACAAAGAACAGGCATCTTCGCCATGGTCAGGAAAGTGTTGTCACATTTTGATGGCCTGAACAGCGTGTCAAGATTTGTTTTATTTTTATTTAGAGGGCACTTTTTCGATCAGGAACGGGTGCAAAAAAAATAAACAAAGACAAAACCTAGTTTACATGAAAAATATGTGGCTATACAGTTTAAGTTGAAGAAAAAAAAGGTAAACAAATCAGTAAACAGGCACTCCAACAATACAATACGCATGCAGAAAACAAATTCAACCTTCCAAGATTATGGGACACTAGAGGGGGTGCAGAAATGCCCACTTTTTCTACTAACAAGCGTGACATTTTTGATATTGTAAGTTAAACTCTTTAGTTTGGCTCTGGATGAGTCAAAAGTCAATCCAGATATCTGGATTACCTTTATTGGTGTTTAATTGCTTAAGCGGGTAGTGCGTAACTGACGGGTATCCGACGGGCTGCCGAACGACAGATCTAGCTAGTAAAGTTTCGAGTTGATTGCATCCAAGACATGCCTTTGACATGGGCGCTACAAAAAGGAAAACAACAGAAAATTACAGGCTCGCAATGATTGAGAGCGAACAAAGCTTCATCAGTCAACCAAATAAATATGTGGCAAAAGTGGGTATGGCAACATACCCCACGTTCGCTCAACATCTGATTACATATCGTAGACAGGTTATTGGCAGGTTTCTTACCAGGGATGATAGACTTATCTGCTGAAAGCTAGTTCACACACCTGCAACTGCTTAAAATTAATGTGCGCCTTAAAACTTCTAAAATCTCTTACGACGACGGCAGAGCGCAACTGGCGCCATCTATCGGGCATCCGTGGGACACTTTCAGTTTCGATGTATTTTTAAGAGCTTTTGACGTATCATTATTCTTCTTTTTTTTTTTTGGCTCGAAAGTCTTTTGACAATGTTTTTGAATGATCGTTTCTCGTAGACAGCATATACATTTGATCTCTCAAATACCGCGAAACCAAAACTTCCGCTCCAGTGAAATGAAGTTCCTGGGCCATCTCATGGATGCCACTCCAGTGTGTTCTGTGGTCGTAAGAGATCAGAAGAGATCGGTTCTAAGCAGACGCGAGTGTGCGTACGGGCCTCGAGACTTTCTAGAACGTTCTCCCGACGTTGCGCCGGGCGTGTGCAGTCCGGCAAGCTCGCAACCTCATCCCGATGGACCCCAACGGTCTCTCGGACCCCTACGTCAAGCTCAAGCTGATCCCGGACTTGGGAGACTCGGCCAAGCGCAAGACCAAGACCATCAAGGCCTGCCTCAACCCGGAGTGGAGGGAAACCCTGTCGTTGTGAGTGGACGTCCTTCGTCTCGGTGTTTACAGGTGTCCCTATGACCCTCGTTGGTTGGAAGGAGGGTTGCTTGTCTGTCAGTTGGCTTTGACCCACAGCCCAGGGCCAACAGACCTCTTGCCAAACTATCTGTGCACCAAAGAGGGTGCTGGGAACGTAGGTATGTGCGTCGCGCACAGGTCGCATCATCGGTGTAAGAGATTTGAAGTGAATTACGTAAAGAAAGATTTGAAGGAACGCACATGCAAAGTGCCATCTGTTTGGGTTTTTGCTTTTAAAAGGTTGCTGCAGCAGACTCCAGCACACGCGGCACATGCTACTACTACGCTTGCTGCACGCTCCTTGGTGCTTGGTTAATCTAGCGAAAAGTCCATTGCTCTGAGGTACTGTTCAAACCCCAAACCTTGACGGAGAAAAATATCTCAAAGTGTTGGCATCAAATTTCACCTTGTGGGAACGAGGCATTGAAATGATAAAATGCCTGAAGCTGGCTGCATTTATCGAAAGGCTCGTTATGAAATGAGCTAGAGAAATTGACGCCTGTTTGTAGCAAGCTCAAACTTTGATCAAAGCTGTATTTTAGTGGTGGATTTTACCTTGCACATGTGTGACGGGCGCCCACATTGTGGCAAACATCATGCTTGCAGTGCCATCTCCCAACAGGTGCAGCAGGCCATAGGCCGACTCTGGGGAGCGGGGGGGAAGGAGGGGAGGGGTCCACTCTGAAATTTCTTGGAGGGGGGGGGGTAGCCAATGCCCCCCTTTCCCCGGAAAGGAGCTGTTCAGAAGGGCGTGTACCCCTGTTTCGGGGTCCTCGGAGTAAAGTGCATGGCACAAGGGGGGTGGTTGAGTTTAAGGCAGGCCAGACCTAAGACAGCCCCAGCCACCTTCGCCTATGCAGCAGGCTCTAGGGTAATTGCAGACAGCAATACAACAGGCACTGCATTGCTTGCATTCTCCTGAGCGATTGTTGCGCCTGTCGAAAGACGGCACCGCAAGCACAACGCTCGGGTGACTCGGTCATATGCGTTGGTTATTGTTGTTAAAAAGGTTGAGGATCTTGTTAAAACTTTTCACAGGAGTAGGGCTAAGCCTTTTTCCGATTTTTTTCGGGTCGTTGACAGCGAGGCCTATGATTCATAACACCCCATATATGAAACCCATAATTTTTATGAAATAGAGCATTTGTTGAATGTATGACAATACGACGCTTTATGTAAAGAAGAAAGAATGAAACATAGAAGCACAGAACACGGACAGCACTTCTTTGGAAAGGTGTGCCGTCCGTGCTTTGTACTTTCTCAAGCTTTTACAGTCTACCAATGCACTCACCTCAAAGCAGTACCATTTTACGGGTGACGTACGTGATTGTGTCCCGCAACGGACAACCTGTTTGTTCCATCAGCGAAGCGAGTGCCCGTGGTTGCCCGATGCCTTGCAGCGACCTGAAGGCAGAAGACAAGGACCGCCGTCTGCTCATCGAGCTTTGGGACTGGGACCGAACGTCGCGCAACGACTTCATGGGCTCTCTCTCGTTCGGCATCTCCGAGATCTTGAAGCAGCCCGCCGAAGGGTGGTTCAAGCTGCTCACTGCCGAGGAGGGGGAGTTCTACAACGTTCCGGTCCCAGCCGAAGACGAAGATGCATCCGCGCTCCGGAGCCAGATGCGGGCAATGCCGAGGCCGGGCCACAGGGGCACCGCTCGCAAGGGAACGCCCAGCGCCTTTCCGGACGTCCCGCACAACATGGGCAAGCAGGTGAGCTCACCGTATTCCCTGGGAGTTCCGATGAAACTGCCCAATCGGTCTGATAAACGTGGCTAGCCAATACGGAGTGCAAGTGGTGGGCTTCTTTGCGCAAGAGCTGCGGTGACGTCAGAACTACACCGAGCCCTGATTGGCTTTGATTGAAAGGATAGTGGCTAGACCTCAATGCTAGATTGAGATCTATCCAGTATTCTTTCAATCGGCCAATAAGAGCTTGACGTTCTGACATCGTCGCAACCCCTGTGCAACGAGCAGACAAGCTAGTGCTCCGCATTGGTTAGATTAACTTCTCTAGCGGTCCACATCTCTATTGCTCCAATAGGCAAACCCAGTTGGTTCCATAGATCCATGGGTTCTCAAGCTGGGTAGCGGTTCCTCAAAGTGTTCGTGTTTATTTCCCGAGCCCCCAATTTTCTCGACCTACTCCGTCCCAAAGTGAAGTATTTTTTTTATTTAAGCATCGTCTTAGTGGATCTGAGCCACCCATGGATGTGTAATTATGAGCCGAAAGCTTCCCAACTCTGCTCAGTTTCAGCTTGCATATGGCCGCAGCGGATACTACGAGCTATCGGGGCCGATCTAGGGCTGTGTGAGGGTTACGTAATCTTAGAGATGGGGTGCAGCGACGTGTGAAGCGCGTATGACATGCTACAATCGGAACGCTACGGTCGGACGTAAGCTGGAACGGATTATAGTGTATGCGTCATTGTTTGCAAGGCAGCTGTAGGGTTCTGCACTGCTTAGTGCCGAGTCTGGTAAGGGTTCCTCGCGCAACAGTCGAGAAATAGGGGATCCTTGATGTTGACAAGTTTTGGGAATCTCTGCCATAGACGTTTCAATTGGTCTAATTGACACCTGGCTCAAATAGTCTATCAGATCAAGTGGACAGGTCTATTTGAGAGAGGTGTCAATTAGACCTGTCCACTTGATCTGATAGACATTTCTCTTGGACCAGTGGAAGTTTGTGTAATCGATAGAAGTTCCTACCTGTCCAATAGGCATATTCCCACCTGACCAGTAGAACTAATTGGCTGACAGACTTTTCAGTCGATCTGATGAAAATCTTCAACCACTACACATTTTTTCGGGACCAATGGAAATCTTGTTAGAACCAGCAGACCTTTCTACCGGTCCAAACGAATTTCCTGTGGGAACATTAGAAATCTATTGTTGCCATAGAAGTATCCATCGGAATTTCTGCTAAGGACCCTCGCACGCCCTTCCGTCCTAAGCCGACGCCCGATTTGCGCCATCGCAGGACGTGATCCGTGCCTCGGACTTCCACTTCCTCATGGTGCTGGGCAAAGGCAGCTTCGGCAAGGTGCTGCTGGCAGAGCGCAAGGGCACGGACGAGCTGTACGCCATCAAGATCCTCAAGAAGGACATCATCATCCAGGACGACGACGTGGATTGTGCCATGGTGGAAAAGCGGGTCCTCGCCCTGCCGGCCAAGCCCCCGTTCCTGGTGCAGCTGCACTCGTGCTTCCAGACCATGGTGCGGAGACCAGGGTCAGCCCTCCCCCACGCGACATCCCGCGCCCTCCGCCCACACGACACCCTATGCCTCCAGAAGGCACCTCCACACCATTTTTTAGAAAGCACACCTTTAGTTGACACTTTCTGACTATGCCTCCACAAGACGACTTCCATGTGGTGCCTCGAGGAGACCATCCCTCAAGAACACCCTTTTCAAGTGACAAAACTTCATAGAACACCTAAACATGATGCGTCACATTACACCTCTAGACGACTTTCCTTCTGGAGATGTCTCTTGAAGACGTCCCCAGGAGACGCATTCTCGGGACGCTTCCAGAAAACAACTTGCCACATGGCACCTCAAGGAGACTCTCCCACAAGAACACTTCCTTCATGGGAACATCCTGGCACACACCTTTATTTAACACCCTTGCACGATACCACGCACTGCACCTGTGGAACACTACTCTCCCACATAATCGTTGGAGAAGACAGCCCCAGAAAACACCCCTTCACAATGTTTCCAGAAGACTACCCCCACATGACACCTCCAAAACAAACTTGCACAAGAACACCCCCTTCACCTTCATAAGTTACGTACAGACACCTTCATGCAATAGCCTTACACAGTGCCTGACACAGCACCCTTGGAAGACTCTCCCACACAATTATTATAGAAGACGCTCCTCAAAGACACCCTTTCATGATGCTTCTAAAAGAAAACCTCACTTTGTACCTTTAGAAGGCTCACCTACAAGAACACCTGCTTCATTGAACATCCAGGTACACTTCCACACAACACCCCCTTACTATGCCTCATACTACACCTCTAGAAGACTACTCCCCCACATTATTTTCTTAGGACAGTTGTTATTAGCCACTGATGTTTCGCGGACCCCTTGTGGATCTGTGGAGATGATGGAGGACCCCGTTGATGGTGAGGGGAAGGGAAAGGTATAGGTTAATTATGATAATGATTTAATAAATGGCTGTAACTAAGGGCTAGTGTGAGATAGACTTCTCTTATTGGCATAAACATGAGAAAACTCACCCAAAAATTGGAACGTTTCTTCGCAATCTAAGAAAAGACAACTTTTATTGCCGGGCTTGACTGATGAGGCTGGCTTCATGGACCCCTAGAATGCCTTCGTGGACCCCAAAGTGTCCGCAGACCCCCATTTGAGAACCACTGCCTTAGAACACACCCTTTCACTATGATTCCAGTAAAACTCCTTGCCTGACACCTCTAAAAACACCCCCAGTAGACATCCTGCACCCCCAACAGCATGCCCCCTACATTCATCTTCACACACCACCGCCAGAAATGTTCATTGTTTTCTGGCAGTATCATTAATTGCATCTTGCATGGCAGTAGCTTAAAGGGGCACTGACATTTCAAAACCTTTTTTTTTTTTATTATCCGAAACGATTGAAAACGATGCCTGAACATTACCCTCAAAGTTCAAAACTTGGGAATTCAGTATTTGTGAAGTAAAAAAAAACGATTTCCAGAGGCCGAATTTGAAGTTCCCGCGCGATCCGCGCCACGGCAGCGACGTCAAATATTGAGCTGTCCCACGAGTCAAGTTTCTCTCACGCCACCAAGCCGCCGCCACCCAAAGTGTCGTGTTCGCCTGCGTCCTGCGAACAACTGCTCTCCTCCATGCGTGCCGCCTATCGCTGCGAGCAGTCGACGCTTGCCTTTCGAGTTTGAAGTTCTTTTAGGGCCCTTTCAACGATCTCACATTCCTTGAAACAGTGTGAGGTCCGACAGAAAGCATAGTGGACTTTTGTGAGCTTTGTGAGGGGTCACATTGCACCAGTTCTGTGTGAAACCAAAACAACGATACACACACAGCAAACCCAGTTGTTTTGACCATTTCATGATTCCCTTTTCGAAATCTAAGAGGTCGTCGCGCACCTAAAAAGGACAACTTTGTTTGATTCCTCAACTCACCGATCATCCTCTGCTACATGCGTCGAGCGCTGCCATGTTTTTTTGAAAGAGGATAAAAAGGCAGGAGGTGACATCACTTAGGACTCTGATTTTTGGTATTTCAAAAAGAAGGGGCGTAGTGCAATTGCAATCGCATTAAACAACATGTTTTCCGAATACTATTATTAAATGTTATAGAAACTCTGCTTACAAAGCTTCTAAATTTCCTAATATTTGACCTCACAAATCAAAAGAAGCGAGGAGGTGAGGAGCGGGAGAGAAAAGCACTAAAAATAAAAAGGTGTGCGCGCGCGCAGGAGGAAATTTCTTTTCGCGTTGCGGTATTTTTTTGCGTGTCTATGACTACAACTTGCATCATTTTAGACAGAAAAACAAAAAATCCAACCTTTGGGGTGCATTCCTTTAATGATTTGTAAGCATTTCCAAACAGAAAAAATGTGTAAGGACTTCACTATATTCACATATTCGAATGAATATTGTAATGTCGGCAAGATATCCACAAGCCGGACATATTTACTGTACAAGCAGTGATAACTACCTAAATTCTAAAATTTTGCACCTTCCCCGGGCAATAGTCCCGGGTCAAACTCTATTGGCGAGTCTTTATTTTCGTGAAGCTGGCGGACCGGTGCACGTGCCAAAGGTTGCCACGAGTTGCATGTCGCCTCGAGCGCACAACCCGACTTTTCCGCCGTGTTGCAGGATCGGCTGTACTTTGTGATGGAGTACATCAACGGCGGGGACCTCATGTTCCAAATTCAACAGTGCGGGAAATTCAAGGAGCCCGTGGCGGTGTTCTACGCCGCCGAGATCGCCATCGGCCTCTTCTTCCTCCACGCCCGGGGCATCGTGTACAGGTGGGAGGCGCACTCTCGGAATCGCGGGGTTGCTCAGCTGAGCGGATCGACGCAGCGCAGCCTTGCAGTGGGCGGAGCGAAAGCTCGTGCCACGGACTTGAGGCTCGTTCACACGATGGCACTTGACTACGTTTGACTAGAACTGTCGTACAAGCTGTGCTTAGGGTGTCGGCACTTCATTTTTTTGTAGGCGCCACCATTCGTGTGCTTCGTGCAGAGTGGGAGTAGAAATCGTTGCGAGTAGAAAGTGCGACTTCTCGGGCATCGGAAACGGTGTCGAGAACCTCGTGCAATATCGTTTTGCTCTGTGACTGTCTGTTTAAATGTTTCCGGGGGACGGAAAAGCGTTCCCTGCGAGTTTGGCTAAAGCTTTGGGTAACGACAAACAACAATTTTGACCAGCCAAATGGTTGAAGCGTTGTTGCACCTTTTCTAGTGGCTTTACGTTCCACTACGTTCTGGGGACTCGACTTGAGGTATGACAGCGAGCTCCTGGGACGTCCCTAGCACGGCATCCGAGTCGGGGAACAGCTTGACACACGGCATACGAATCGTGGATGTTTGGGTGACTTGCAGTTGTGTCTTGATGTGACGTAGTCACCTGCTAGTGTTACTTAATGGGGCCTTGAAATGCCTCGAGTTGGAATCTTACTCCCACTTATTTTGACGCAAGTGGCTGTTGTGCTGGCAATTGCTACTGTGTGATTCACGTTGAAGATCCCATTGTAACAATCCAGTAGTCTTGGCCAAATTTTTTCTTTGAGTAGATATACAACCTACCATATTTCAAAGCATGCTGACTTTTTGCTGTGCAACAAACTCGTACAACGATTGCATTCATACAACGAATTTGACTTTCGAAGTTTCACAATTGCAATCGGCTAGGCCATTCTGGTTGGCATGTCCCTGTCGGAGGGCTCTTTTGTAGGGACTGTGGGCTTTAGCGAGTCTATCGGCTTTTCGTGGTGCCTGCTGGCGTCGGCTGATTGCATCTATTGTTTATGCACAGAGATCTGAAGCTGGACAACATTTTGTTAGACCAAGACGGCCACATCAAGATTGCCGACTTTGGCATGTGCAAGGAGGGCATTGTCGGGGACAAGACCACCAAGACCTTCTGCGGGACGCCAGACTACATTGCCCCTGAGGTGGGGAAACAAGATACATACTACGAGCTATGCCCTCATTAATAAGACGCTCATCCGTCCAGCACTCTTGCGTTCCAATTGAATATCGGTTGTGCTGTATCCCTTTCCTCCCTATAATGTTTTGTCTGTGCAGTAAGCTTTCGTCAGTTAATTCGATCGTGTTCAAAAGTCCTGGTGAGCACCCATACATTTCTATGGGAGGAAAAGTTCGATAGTTCGAACTCGTGAAGACTCCGCATCAGATAATTCGTCCCGAGCGAATGCACGCGGGCTCACATTGCAGAGCTCTACGGCAGAAAAACCTTCAACATACGGCGAAACACGGGTTCTTTGCTGCAACGCCGAACGTGCGCAAATATGCGCCTACTCCTCTACGCTGTTAAGATGGACCGTAGCGAATGACACGAGCCAGCGCAACCAATCTGGCATGGAGTAGCGCAGAAAACATAGCACGTGGTCAGGCGCAGAGACAGCGCGCGCTCTCAAAGTGCCTTTCTCTAGCATCGTGTGCGGTCCATCTTGCGCCGAAAAGCGGAGGTTCTCTTTTCCTTCTTTTTTTTCTGTTGTTATTTTTCTTTGTCGCCAGCGGTCTGGCCGCCCGACGCCAAAGTCGGCTCGTAAAGCCTTCTCAGCGCACGCTGTCAAAGCAAGCATCGTGTACGGTCTATCTTGCGCGCCGGAAAAAGTGGTTTTTGTTTTTGTTATTTTTCTCTCTTGCTGACGGTCTGACTGCCCGGCGCCAAAGACTGCTCTTAAAACTTTTTTTTTTTTTTTTGAGTGCACAATTTTTTGGGGACGTGATGTCTAGTTACGCTGCTCTCCGGAACATGCTTTCGGACACGCGTTTTAAGCGCAGACGGCAGCAGACCATCCGTGAGTACTTTGAACAATAAAAGGAAGTTTAATTTTAACCATTTTTTTGTCCTTTTTTTAATTCAATCATTCGGATAATTTGAACAAATTTCAAGGTTCTGTCAAGGTCGAATTAACCAAAGTTTACTGTATTTACAGCATGCCAGTCTTTTCGTCTCTCTCAGCGGAATCATCATAATCCAGGCAATTAGCTGTTTGTGAGAACACAAAATAAGGTGGTGCAAATATTCAAATTTTTTAATAGTAGTTTCGAATAATATGCTATTCGATATTCGCTTCAAAGTAAACTGCGATATTCATATTTTTCAATGTGTTGATTGTGGCAGGTTCGCCCCGTTGAGCCCGCTTCTCACCGAGCACCGGTGCAGTGTGGAGAAGCAACAGCCGCGAAGCTCGTTTCTGCGGGTACTGCTTCTCCGCATTGCGCTGGCGCTCGGTAACAAGCGCACTCAACGGGACTCAAACGCAAACAAACGTTGATGACTGCTGGAGTATTTTTGTCGTGAGGCTTGGGAATTTAGATCTGTGCTACATGAGAAAGCAACTTGCATCATGGTTAAGTTAGTATCATAACTGTAATAAATGTCCTAAAAGTTTAGGGCACCTGTTCTTAATTGTTTTTATGCATCTGAACTGCCCCATTGCAAGCATATCTAAAAGGAAAGTGCTTTTTCTGATAAAAAGAGTTTGACAAACTTAAGAACTAGGTTTCCTCTAAATCTCATGTACGGTTGAAGCATTCCCAGAAACTCCGTCCGCAATTAGGTGCATGCAGTCTTTTAAATATATCTAGGGTGTGTACTTTCCGGTGTTTATTTATGAGAAAAATCGGCGGATGTTTTTCGGTGTTTATTTATTTTCAAAACACCGGTGTATTTCGGTGGAACGTCTCACGACGAGGCTAAAATCGGTGATTATCGGTGAAAAAAAGCGATTGATCACAGACAAAGATTTCCAATGTTATTCACATAGTTCATACACTTCTTCTCTAGGAAGCAACTATTTCTCACACTGGGTTATTATAGTAGATGCAAGCATACTTTCATGCTTGCATCTACACGCAAGGAACGTGCTGCCGTCATGGCAGCACGTTCCTTGCGGTTCGCAACCCGCATTTATGAAAACGCACGCTCCTGTACGCCACGGACGTTGGCAGTGTCTTCCAAAAACCACAGTAACCTCTAAATACATGGCTTGCACCGACATCACTTGGCCAGACACAATGAGGAAAAGGCACGTGAGAGCCTACCCTCCACTGCGTTAATTTGTCCACAAAAGGGGGCCATGGGAGACACTATGGGGGAAAGGCGTATGAAAGCTTAGCTTCCACTACGTTCACTAGACGCTTTTACCCCCCAAAAAGGAGGGCGGAATGACGCCACCTGCAAGCCATGTATAAACACTGGAAGAATGCAAGATCCACGAGATAACACGTTTGACGAACCTCTACGGGGAAAGGGTTTCGCTAGGTCGGAAACTAGCAACGACCGGTGTTTTTCGGTTTTAACCAGGGCGAAAATATCCAACCACCGGTGTTTTTCGGTTTTAACCGATTTTATATTTTCGTCACCGACGGATGTTTATCGGTGTTTTTCGGTTAAAACCGGAAAATGCACACCCTAAATATATCTAAAGGTTTATTTTCGTAAGTCTATATGTTCCTGTTTTGACTTTGGCTCTATTCTGCCATGCCTTCAGTGTTCTTATTAGTGAGGTTCTAATAAAGCATCTGCCGCTTGTTTACCTCCGCGTGTGTTGCAGATCATCTTGTACCAGCCTTACGGCAAGTCTGTGGACTGGTGGGCGTACGGAGTGCTGCTCTACGAGATGCTGGTGGGCCAGGTGTGGAGCAGCATATGCCCTGTGCACAATATACTGTAAAGTTTGGATAGGAAAAAGTCCATCAGCTCACAAGTATGGCTTGAATTCTGTTTCTGGTTGTGGCTTTGGGAGCCTTACTGGCATAAGGTGGAGTCGAGCATACGTAATTTGTGGCTAAAGCGACATCTCACGAGTTTTAATCAGCGATTTCGAGAAGTAAAAAGGTGTTTGTCTGTTGACCTTTAAAAGGAAACTGAAGCGGTTCTTTCTTCGTTTGCTTCCAGGATCACGAATATCGAGATTATTTTTCAATTAAGTGCACGGAGGCTGCAGAAATTCATTTTCAAAGTATCGCCGAACCCTTTCCTTCCCAGAGCGCGACGTCCTAAAAGAGTTGGAATCTTCGCTGTCACGCATCTTCAGCGCCTATCTAACCTATGCATGCGCATCCTTGTCATTTTCACAAGGGTCAGAAAAAGACGTCGCGACCGGCGTCAGTGCGGGGGAGCATGCCTGGCAAGCTTGCAATAGTAAGCGCTGCCCACACGAACGACAGGCGCTTGGCGGCCGAAATATCCGTGTATTGTCACGAATGACAAATGATGAAGCGGCGAGTTAACTGGAGAAACCAAACATTTGATGGGGTGAACTTGTGCCCAAAGCAAAATGGAAGAATGTTAGCGTTGCAGGCGTCGATGTAGGCGGAACAGTAGGATCGAGCGTTGGGGCTAAGACTGATCCCGGACCGCCACACGGAGCACATCTTGTACCCGCGTGGGTTTCTGGAACATTCGGCGTAGAACGTTCGGCACATGGAGCATCTATATCTTGATCAGACCGCAAGGTTCTCAAACTTACGAGAACGCTAAAATGAAAGAATAAATAAAGGGAGCGTCGCTTCCACGAATCGAATTTGGTGCCTCCACATGATTGTCAGGCACGGTAACCATTTGGCCACACACGCACTCGCTCGGCGACGAGCGTGGTAGCACGACTTAACGACTGGTCGGATATTTTTCGTGTTTTCTCGCGTTTACTTACATCTTCAGGGAAAATGAATGTGATACTCAGATTTACGGAATAAGAATATTCTAGAATACACCTCAAACTCTCTTTTTTTTTTTTTCAAGAACCTCTTCAGCTTTTTTTTTTAAGTGGAACTTTGTGTAGAGTGCCCTGTGGGAAGTATCTGATATGTTTCTGTACTAAAATAAAAGAGATGGCAGACAGCAGAGATGCTTGACCATTAACACCAGCAGTCTAAAGAGTTAAAAAATTTTAAAGAGTTAAAAAAACCTTTATGTTTGATGAGTTTTTGTTTTTCTTTTGCCTCGCACTTATCAAACATTTTTGACGTGGCGGTGACTTTTCTTTCTGGTGCAGCCCCCGTTTGATGGTGAGGATGAAGAAGAGCTGTTTGCTTCCATCACGGATCACAATGTCTCCTATCCCAAGTCCCTATCCAAAGAGGCCAAGGAGATCTGCAAGGGGGTACGTCTTTCTATACTCTAGTGCACGCTGAAATTCAGGCTAGCACAGAACGTTCCATTTAAACATTGTTTCAGTGAAACCGAGTACAAAGGTTTATACGGTAGAATGCCTGCAAATGCTGACATTATCTCTGAAGCCCCATAAAATGGCACCAAGTTTATGCTTTGTGGTGCTGTCAATATTCTTCAAGCCAACTGTGTACTGCTTATTGATATCCTACCCAAAGTTTCAATGTGTTGGCCACCTTTTCTCTGCCTGGAATATATATAAGAGGTTGGTCAGTGCAAAGTATTGGATTAGATCAGAGTGTGGCAGCTTAACTCTCTCTATTAAACAATCTTGCTGTAAAGAAACTGGATCTAGCCTGAACAAAAGGAGAGAAAGGCACAAAGCCTGAGCATAGTTGAAACTTTGAGCCAAAAGTCTTCAATTACGAAGTACCCCGGGGCTAGGTTAATGAGGGGGCAACGTAGATGCAAGGTCTTGTTGTTCTCCCTAATCGTGTTCAATTTCCGCTAGCTCGTCTGCAAACTTGCTTTTCGTGTAATTAAAGTCCTTGCGTTGTTTTCTCTGACGCGCAGTTTTTAACCAAGAATCCGAGTAAACGGCTTGGCTGCGGGTCTTCGGGCGAGGAAGACGTTCGGACGCATCCGTTCTTCCGGCGCATCGACTGGGACAAGATCGAGAACCGAGAGGTCCAGCCGCCCTTCAAGCCCCGCATTGTGAGTGCATGCTTTACCTTCCGTTGCGCACAGTGTGCCGTCGTGTGTTGCATGCGTGTTTCCTTGCATGCTTCGGGGGTCTGGGAAGAGTGTCGGGTGCGCCGGGTGTCGTTTACACCGTATATCACTCTGCAACCCCCCCCCCTCGTACCGTACATTTCCGCTCGATGGAAATATTCATCGTTGTTAAGGAAGGTTTTGAAATGGGTCGTAATGATCAAATAGATTAATTGCTAGTGTATTTGTTTTTTGTTTTGAGGAAAAGCAAAGTATTTTTTCTTGAGAACGGGTAATAGTATTTTACGTTGCGCATTTGGGGCTCTGCCATGTTTTCTCTTTTTTCTCAAGAGACCGGTGGGGAGTCGGCGTCAAATGTCGTGACTCTATTCAGATTGCTCGCGAAAAATATGGTGTGGGAGCGCTTTTTATCCTCTTCCTTTTTTCTCGACTTTGCATCGGAATTTCGTCTGCTTGGTCAAGCTTTTTCTAAGGTTTTGGTGTGCAATCCCGTTGAAAATATGCTTCGTGAAGTTTTTTCAGGAAAGCTTTCGTATAGTAAAATCTGAAAAAAGAAAAAAAAATGTTGGGACATTTTTTTTTTTGCATTGGGTCACTTAGTTAATAATTATCTATCACTGGTGAACCATACTGTTTTTAAAAACCTGAATGCAATGTCACGCTATTCCATTATTTAAAGGACACTTGCAAAGGAAAACCTTTTTTTTTTTAAACAGCCTAGATGAAAAAAGAGTGCCATAAAACAAATTTACAATGGAAAAGAAAAGTTTTAGAGCTATACAGTTGAATCTCGTTGATTCAGACCCTCTTAATTCAAACTTGTGGATAATACAAACTAACATGTGGGTCCCATCCTATGCGTCTCTACGGGAGGAAACTCCCGTTACTTCAAACTTTGCTTTATTCAAACAAATTTTCACTCCCCCTCGAGTTCTAATAATGAGATCCGACTGTATTTACGGCGCAAAACGAATTTGTAGTTAGCTCCCATGGGAGGCCCGCGGAAAAGTGGCCGCTAGGGTCACATGGTGCTTGCTCTCCTTCTCTGATTACTTATTACTTCTTAATCCTTCTCTGGAGTGCAATAAAAAAAACGAAGATTAATAAGGAACTTTTAAGGGCCCGAAGGCAGCTCCTGGAACGATGGAGAACCAACGGGTGGCGCGCTCATTGTGCGGCGACGGCGTGACTTTGTGGTGGCGCAGGGCAGCAGTACACAGGTCTACCACGTGACCAGTGGCAGCTTTCGCTGGCGCTAACTACAAATTCGTTTCATATGCCGTAAAGGTAGCTCTAAAAAATGTTTTCTTTTGTTGTAAATTTGTTTTATGACATTCTTTTTCCATCTAGGCTGTTTTAAAAAAAAATTTCTTTTCCTTTTCATGTGTCCTTTAGAGACGGACGACCAGTTCGCGCTTTCCACTTTTCCCCGCTTTCTCCTCTCCCCTACTGCCCTGTCCACCGTTGCCTGTTTCTTTCTCCCCGAAAGTGAGGAGGATCTTCTGCCTTGCAGAATCTCTTGTCTGGTCGTCGGTATTAAGGGGAGACACTGCTCTTTAATACTCTAAGGCACATCTTTCACATTCTGTTCTTGAAGTTTGACAGGCACTTATCATGTCCTGAAGTAGTTTTGCGATATAATTTTTTTTTATCTTGAAATATTGCCGGGGAAACATAGTAAAATCGGTCTGTACATGTTTTTTGCTATAATTTCAGAATTAACTATTTCCACACTTTTCTATATTATGGAGGCCGTATCTTTATTTGCACACATCCAGTCTTCATTATTCTTTTCTTTCTGTGGTAGGCGTACGTGCGAGGTATGTAAAAGGGGGCATAAATGTGTGTAATATGGCACAGAGTGTTTTTTTAGATGCCTTCTGTGCTTCTTTCAATTAATACTTTTGAAACCGAAAAATATAAAAGTCTAATAAAAATCCTTTAAATAATTCTAAAGCTTTCATTTATACAATATTTTACTCCTCAGACCTTCCAGTTTACTGAGGTATATGTTTATTTTCTGATTTTAGTGTTTCAGTTCGTCTTAATCCTTCTTATGATCATTAAAAATGAAATTTTCAATATTAACAGAACTAAGTGCAATATTAACAAAACAAAAATGCTAAATATAAAGGAACTGCAATCAAGGCTATTACAACATGAAGGTAGAATACAAAGAAAGCATTCTGCTAGGGTTGTGAGTTTACTATCTGTGTTTTACCAAAATAAGCATTTCTTCGTTGAAAAGCGCACATGTTAGGAGGCTAACTCCGATGAACCAAAAATAGACAACGTCAGTTAGGGTGCACTAACTTTCAGAAGTAATAGCCGTGGGTGTGGGGCACATTTTGTATATTCTGAAATTTTCTTCTATTTGTCATTTAATTTGAATAGCTGCAGAAATGTCGTCATTTTTACACCTTCCACACATACATTGTATTTTTGAACAATAAAATTTTAAGATATTTTTTCCACATTATAATAACCTCAGTTTCTTTTGAAAGAACAACTAATTGGCCACGTTTTAATGTCATTTTGCTCCATACTCAAATTAGTTTAGAAAAATGAAAGCATTTGCACGCGGATCCTTTGAAAATTGCTACTTTTCCCGTGGTCGGGAAAGAGTTAAGCTACATCGAAACCTAATGCATATTTGTAGTCAGACTGTAAAGAGAGATAAGCTATCTAAATTTCATTTGAATGAGATCACAAGTTCTATAAAAAGCTCTTGAGCCAATGTTAAGCCTTAAAACAAGAAACTTAATTAAATTTGGAACAAATATGTCGGGTATATTTGGGGAGCAGTGGAAAACACTCGCACAAAACAAAACATTGTGCAACACACTTGTATGGAACTTTCTTTTTTTTTTACATAGTTTTGGAGTTGATCCGCTAATAATTATTATTTTAGTTATGAGAAATACCAGACATTAATGAAGAAGTTGATTCTGGTTGTACTTTTCTGGTAGTAACCTCACTTCTAAGCGTAGAGCCTACCATGCCCTTAGTCCCAGGTTTAGCAAGTTGCTAGTTTTGCTGAATAAGCCATAGTCAGGACACATATATGCTTAAGCCCAAGAACCGGTCTGTAGCAAGTTCATTCTAATGCATCTTCTATGGGGCAGGTAAAATGTGTCCTTCAGTCAGGGGCGGATCCAGAACTCCGCTTTGGGGGGGAGGGGGGGGGGGGGGGGGGAAATTTGTAAGGATACTATTCTCCCATTCTTTCTTTTGAACTGGCGGGTCCACCCATGCCAAATTGCCCTCCAAGAAGGGGGGAGGGGGGGTCGACTTCGTTTGGGGGAGGGGCGGCCACCCCCGTCGCTTCCCCTTGGATCCGCCCCTGCCTTCAGTGGCCTACCGTAGGAAAATGGAAAGGCCCAGAACATAAAATCGTAAAGCAGTGTTCTTTTTTAAATTATCTTATGCCTATGAGTTGTATACAGTACTCCTGTATTTTAAATTTGACATTCTTCTCCATGTACTTTATATGCATGTGTCCTCAGACCTGCATTATCTTGTGTTGCTTGCATGTTATTTGTCTATAAGGAAAATACCCTTTCTGGGAAACAAATGACCAGCTTTATTGATGTACTAGATCAAGGGTGGCCAGGCTGACCCGGCCTAAGAGCCGCAAACAAAATCACGAAACTTCCAAGAGCCACGGGGGAGGGCAATAAACGAAACTTAAACTACTTTTACTCTATTCTAGTCAAAAGCAGTCCAACTGTATGTAGGGTAACAGGAGCACAAAACTACCAAACCGCAACCTGTCTTTCGATTTAAAACGTGTTTCATTTCTCTTTTTGGGGAAGTGCTCGTGTGACCGGGGGGGAGGCGGGAGAGTGGGAGGAGAAGGGGTAGGGGGGTAGGGGAGAGAGCCGCGAGCCGCACTTTAACACGCGAAGAGCCACATGCGGCTCGCGAGCCGCAGCTTGGCCACCCCTGTACTAGATCATCTTCATCTCATGTTTGTTAAGTCCTAAAATAATGTAGAACAAAAATAATTTAATTTATGTACTCATTTTTACCGTGTACCTAGCATATATTTGTAGAAAATTACCTCGGACTCGGGAAAGTACTTGAGTTACATGGTTCATGATATTGGTTACTTAAATTTATAAAGATACTCAGAGGAAAAGCCCTAGCACAGTTCTAGAGCAGTCATAGTCTGAAAGCCCATGGTGAGGGCTTAAAGTCTCTAAAACAAAAATGGATGCCCTCTGTTTTCAAATGACTTGTCACCATTTAGAAAGGTCTGTATAACCGTGATGGAGTTGAGCTTTGTATTTCACCGGGAGAATATGTATAAGAACGCTCCTCCACAAGAGGATGTACTTGCAGAAGCTATGGGGCTGACTTCATGCTCTCGCCTTGTACGTTTAACACCCTTGGGTGCAACAAGCCAGTGCAAGCGGTGCCAAATTCAGATTGCAGAGACACTCCTGAATTTGGCACCATTTCTAAAATTAACTACTCTGTGGCCACTTGAGTTCATCCAATATTCGCCGTTATTTCCGTTAATAAGTGGTGCACCCCCGATTACCCCTGGGGCAATGCCTACCAGTTAAAATATTACTATGAAAGGGCATGATGAAAGATTGTGTTAAAAAGTATTTTTACTTTACTATGAAAGTACATTGTATTTACAGTATTTTAATTCAAGTATATTGTACTTCACTTCAAGTATATTCTACTTCAGTATACTTACTATTTTACTTGAATGAAGTACATCACCTCTCGTTCACTTCATACTTTACATACTTCATATAGATGGACTTTTCACAACACTGGTCACTGTAAGGGCTTTTTCAAGGTCATCTTTTATTGAGAAGACTCTACAAGCTTTGTCAAATGTTTCACCGGCCATTAATGCTGACGCATGTTCGTTGTTGGGGGCAGTGGGTTCGTGAGAGCTTGGTTGTTACTAAGAAAAAATTTGAATCATGCTTTCTTCTGAATTTTATGATTAAGTCACTCCG